GGACAATAATTTAACTAAAGGAAAACGATTACCAATATAAATAATAACCCAATACAAATAATACTTAGATTTTTTAGTTCTTTGTTAATATTGGGACTTTTGTGATACGTGATTAGGTTATCATTATCTTATCTTTACATATAGTAAAATCAGTATTATGGGAAGACAATAGACAATTATGTAATGATAATAAATTCTTCATTGTGCATTCAGAAGAAATATAATAAGAAAAACCGTAAGTAGAAAGTAATAACAAAAGGCGGTCTTATCGCTATGAGCAATTTCTTACAAAAAACGTCGGTGGCACACACAAGACATCTTATTTATTAAACACATAAATAGAAGCAATTTTTTTTTACATATACGAAATATACAAATGTATATGCATAGATAAATCTAAACCGATAAAAAATCATAGTCATGAACACTAACGTTTGTACCTTGCGAGTAATCGAAACCGTGATCATCAGAAGTAATGAACTGTGTTAAACCCCTAGATCAGCAATGCCATAAGATATATAAAGAATTTATGATAATATAAATTTTCACTGTGATATTTTACCTTTTTTACGAATCTATAGGGAATTAAACATACACACACACATAGAGATACAAATATATTACAAGGATAATGTCGGCATGGGACCTCTAATTCTGAACATGAACTTTGTCATATTGCGTGATATTGATATTACCTACTCCAAACAAGTATAAACTATAAACAGTCGATCAATTCTCTAATTTATATCTGAAAGTGGTCAATTTGTACCCATTGTTAAACTTGTAATATGTCTGATAATATAATAAAACGGTACGTCTGTGCGTTGTACGTGGGCACGCATACGATGATGTCTTTCACGCTTTACCATCGTGTTCACAATAATTGTAAATTATAGGGATGTCAAAATATAGTCGATAAAGGAAAAAATCGAATATAATTCAATAAAAAATATATTGTAGTACATTAATCGATTTCAGTATTTTAATAATCTATCTCTAAGATATTTTTTAATTCGATTTTTTATTCTATATCTATTAATTCATGTCAAAAAGAAACCCACAATCACATTAATAATCGATTTTATATAGAATGTGCCATTGTATTTTAATAAGATAACAATAAAATTGATGCATCTATTCTACTCGAATGACTTTGAATCACAAGTGATTGGCTATCATATACTAGTGTAGAATAAAATTTTTGCGTGAGTAATAAAAAAATAAGTAATTATTCTCTATGCGTATATTAGTTTTAAAAAATATTTGGCCAGTAATAATAGGACATACATATAAAATAATAAATTATAAATATTCTTTCCATTAATCGTTCTTTTTACTTCTTCTTAAATTAAATCTAATAATACACACAAACAATTTCAGAATAATACATATAGTGCCACCAAGATGCTTGCTTTGTAATATATATTTCTGTTACAAACTAAAAGTAGGGCAGTGAAAGTAAAGGATATATATATATATGTAGATATATCTTATCTATCTATATCCTTTACTTATGTACAAGATATAAGCATGACGTTTCATAGATACATGAGTATCACGGGAGTCACGTGATTTGTAATGCTATTCGTGTATGTCTGTCTCTAGGTGACAGTTACATTTTACCATAAAGTGCACGAACCACTTTTGCTGGCCATTAAGTTAGTTAGGATGTTAGTTTAATTTTAGATACATTGATAAAATCTGTAGTGTGTAAAATTCAGTACCACCTACCAAAGTCATAACTTTAATTCGCATGCGCCAAATTAGACATGTTCAATAGTAACATAACAAAGAAGTAAAGAAATTTCCTACTACTAACTAATAAGCATACCTCTGTAAAACAAGAAACCCCCCTGACATATTAAATTGTTTTAAATTATTACTTAAGTTTAATATCAATTCCAGTCACATTCTCGTGTGCAAATCAAATGAAGATAGGTAGGTAAACTTATTAGCTATTGTCAAGGAAAGAGGATGGCACTAAGCGACTAAACACTAAGTAATGCTTATCTAGCATTCAACTTGGGTTGATATACCTATTAGAGAAGTATATTTTTTTAAGAATTTAACTTTCATAACAGTTCATTGGAGATAGTATTAAATAATTTCGATAAATTATTTTACTGGGGGTGTAACTCAGTGGTAGAGTGTCTGCTTCGCATGCTGAAAGTCCTGGGTTCAAATCCCAGCACCTCCACTTTCCTTTACTTTATTTTTTAATTTTTACTACTTTGTTTTATTGATTTTTATCGTAAAACAAAATAGATAATGACATCCGAATGTTTCAAAATATAGTTACAGAAAAATTTGTTCATTTAATATAATGCTTAATAACTCCATCTAGTGGTACATTATGCAAAATACAAAACACTAATAAAATATTTAAATACACAAATTCAAATAATAATATGTATATTTCATATTAAAATAAAATCACTGGAGTCATCGCTTTATCCTATATCTTTAAAAGAAGCAAAGTATCTATATAATAATGTGTAAATATTAAATAAAGATTACGGTTAACAGCGCCATCTAGTAATACATATCAACAAAATGTAGTAACCGCATCAAAGACGCGAGGTGTCCACAAGGCGAAGGCAAAAAAAAGCATTCCGATTGCTTTTAGAGACTAAAATAATCAAAACTAATTTAAAAATTTAATATTTAATTAGTTTAATATTTTAACCTACGTTAGCTTCTCAAACGAACGTTCCCTGACGTTATCAGTACTGGAAACTTGGGTAAATTTACCATATGGTAAATGCCTAATTTCATTATGGAATTAGTTAATAATCCTTTTTTTTTGTATTTGCAATATTAAAATATTTCTTTCAATAAACCCCAAATAATATAACTACCTATTTTACTTGACACTGTGTATGTACATGTAGGTAATGTGATTTCTTTGATCTTTTTTAAATAAAAGACAACTTCAATGTAATATTTTAATGAAAATTCAACTAAACGTATAAATCTTATTTATACTTACAATAAACAAGTAAATGGGTAAATATTTACATTCAGCTGAGGGACGGTCGCATACACCGCGCTGTCCCCCAAAATTGCACTAACAAAAATATGGGGTGGCGATGTGTAGCCACCCCAAGCGCTCAGTCGTCCGTTGGGACGTAAACAACCAGAAAATTAGAAGAAAATCAATATTATATTTTAATGAACACATTTTTCAATCTCTTTTTATATCTAATATACGTAACTTTAATTGGAATAAACTAAAATGTAAGAACGTAGAACACTTACACTTACGCCGTCCATATATCTCAACAAAATATTTATAGACTCTATAAATTGTTAACGACCAAATTGATTAGTTTAGGTACATACTACTACATACGTAGTTAATCGTAATAAAATTTTCAACCAACTTTTTAAATTAAGAATCGACATTGACGAAACTCTATTAGATATGTCCAACTCCAAGACAATTCGAATTTTAAATAATTAATTTTTTCACACCATTTCATTTCAGCGCATTATTTATTAAAGCACGCGAATTTATTAAAGTGAGATTTTTTTAATACTGTCATCCTTTGTTGTCCGTTGCAAAGGAATTTATTTATACGTCTTACTCATTTAAATAATTAATAGAGCAAAATAATGAGTCCCAAAGAACCACTGAGCGTATGATATAACGAGTAAACATTATGTATATTAGATAATATATCGCAGTCTTAGTACGCCGTGGCACAGTTTGCCTCCTTACCCTATAGCTAGAGACCGCTCGCTAGTGCTAATACTACGGCGCTACTCGAGTACACTGCTACTCAAAACATCTAACCTGTATGTATGTGGCTTTGCTTTCGCCGAAATTGGGGTACATTTAAACTATAGAATACTTAATGTAATTATTATTTGTCATAGTCCTACCTCAAAACAAAAGGTAACATCAAACATTATGTCACTTTAGTACAATATAAGAAATAAACTGTATTTCTTAGTTAATTGAGTATTTAAAACAATCTCTTGTTAATATTTTTACGTGTTGTTAACATTGAAATTTTATATGTTTTATGTTTCCTTAGTAATTATACACATTAAAATACGGTTGAAATAAATTGAAAATTGAAACAAAGACCCCAAATTCTACTACGAGCTTACAGCCTTATCGACTAAAACATCTACTAATAAAATGACGCTACAATAACTATTGGAAGATAGTAAAAATGGCCTCGCCTATACGAAAAGGTAACAAGTAGGTTACTACACTAAACATTATATAATAATAATAGATAAGGAATTAAGTTAAAAACATTGTCACATCAATACATAGGAACTATTAAAAAACAAATTTAGTAAGCAAATCTCAATAAAAAATCCGTATAGGTTGTACATAATGAAATTAAAAAAATTGGCAAATTAAATTGACAATGTACATAATTGACAATAATTTAAACAAAATCATAAATAAAAGTATGTAACATTACAGTTGATATTTGGTAACATAAACAAAATAATGTATATTTTTTAAAATAACAAATACAAAAAGGATAACTAACTACCTAATAAGTATTTATTCATGTACACTGTTTTTAATCTAACTCCAATATAAACTAGACTAGAAATCATGGAGGGACTAGATAGGGAGAAATGGAAGAACTACTGGCCGGTTATTTTTGACTTACCACGAAAAATACTTTATTAATGATTATTGACTAAAACAGAAACTTTTTTATGTAACTGTATTAGCTATGAATTTCATCGTCTATACACTCGTACTTGGACATCGTCACAGACATGACGTCATCATGTGATCCCCATCATGCCACTTATGCTTTGATATTGCGGAATGCCAGTGACATGCCTGTGTAAGTATTATAATGGTAGTTTTAAAAATATATAGTAGGTAGTATTTGGGATAGAGTCTCCATTGTCTATCCTAAGGTAGATTGGGTTATTGGTAAATAGCCGTAGCTATACCCTTTCATAGGATTTAATTTCATCCAAATGATTCTATTTGATATACTGTTAAAAACTAGTGCAAAAATTAAATAGACACGAAATAATAAAAATTATCCAGGAAAATTTACACACGTCATCTAGAATCAGGCTAACTGGAGCTCGTGTTATGGGTACTAGACAACTTATAAATGTATTTCAGTATATTTTTTGGTAAGAATATACATAATATACATAGAAAACATCTAGTTCCCTACAAATAATGATACTCATGCATGACACATGTTCGTACCATACAAGGAATCGAACCCGCAACCACAGGAGGTAAGACAGCGTGCTTAACGGCTAGACCACAGGGGTAAACCACATATAAAATATCATTGTGGTATTTATTAATTTAATTTAAAATAAATAACATGTAAAGACTCAAATAAACCGGCCCAGACTACAAATCGTGACGTAAAGGATGTAGAGTCTACAGCTAGGGTTTGGCAGGACGGGAGAGGTCAGGAGCAGAGCTAGAGCGAGTCCAGTCGGGTGCGCTGCACGGCAAGCAGCGCCGACTGTTGTTGTAAACTTTTCCGGAGCCCTTCCAGCGTTTGCAACACCTGTAAACAATTGGCACATGTCAACTGGATCCTATAGAGACTGAGTCATAATAATATTATGTAATATTATCTTATCTTAAATTTGTTTTTATTATTTGTAAAATATGCCTATACATTTTTTATAACACGAGAATTCAAGTGCGATTTCAGGTATATAATTACTATACCCTTTGGGCCAAACGATACGCTGTGACGTATAGATATACTTCCTTATGAAGTAAGTGCAAATGTCGCGATAAACGAAAACAATAAAATAATAAAATTTCCATACTTAACATAGGTATATTGTGTTTATTTTCTTCTCATACACATTGGTATTACAAGAAGATGGTACATATAAGCTGATAGCTGTGTTTGAACATCAGTAACGTTATTGTATATTTTGATTTTTAAATTAAATAACATAATTGTGCGATGACGTAGACATCCGTGTGAACACCCATACTTACGTATGATATATATTACGTCCATCAATAAACAATTAAACAGACTGAACATTCCCCGCTATTAAAATGTAATGAATCAAGTGATTTACGTTTTACGTCTCTGTTTACTATATTTGTAGTCATTTAGATAATAACATTGACGGAATGTGTACTAACTATAAATATTGATTTAGTTGTAAGCATGTCATGAACTCAATGAATCATCTTCAAAGAATCTGTGCGAGGTGCGTATTGTATTTAAAGTATCCAAGTTTATTTGTTTAAATACAAATAATTGTATTAGTAGTTTAATTGGAATCAGAACATTATGTAGATGTGATTATCTAAAATGTATTTTTCTTAAATTAATAATCTATTATTTAATTTGTAGTATTCAACAGCACTACAAAATGTTTAATATTGACATATTAGTAATAAAACTTATAAAAAGCGAACTATGGCATGTACAAAAGTGAATTATCTATCTACTATCTAATTAATAAACTTCAAATAAAGACATAATACATAGATTAAAGTGTTGTTATAATTAAATATGCTTCTGCTGAGTTTAAATTCACATCAAATGGATTTTATCTAACAAAAAATATACGACGACTCTGTAAAATAATTAACCATGATACGACTGGTTGCCGAGAATACCTAACTTTATTGGCAGGATAGTGACACTGACCTCATCTCGGGCATATGCCTTTCGTTTAGGCGGTTCAGAGTGCGGCCGGTCTGAACCATCGAGCGGCTGCCTAGGGCGGGGCGCAACTGGTGGCGGCGGCGGAGCGGCGAGCGGGGAACGCCGCGCTAGAGGAGAGGGGCGGCGTGCTGGCTCGGGAGAGTTTGCACGCATGAAATTCGTAATGTGGGTGCGTTCGGGGCTTCGACGAGGGGCCTCTACCTGGTAGAAACAACCAGAACCACACCATAAGGTAAGGTAAGGGTGTAGTGTGCTAGGTGCGTAAATTGGCCGGTCAACATTTTTATGAATATACTTGCATTCTTGAGAACTTCGATCTTATTAGAATCAATATAAATCACACTTTCACATACTTAACAAGTATATGAATCAAACAGTTCAAATACTATTCTTCCAGCTTAATAAACAAAAACAAAATTGAATAAATCTATGAAGCTGATATAAAATAGAATTAAGATACTCTAAAATTAATTTGTCGTAAGTATGTGTATGTATAAAATTGTTGATGGAACCAATTTATGAATGCATTAAGGTATATATAATATAAATGTTAATAAATTGAACGACTATTGAATATGGAACCTCGGATTATTGTCTATTACTATAAAATAGGTTCGTAAACGAGACCTGGAAATGATTATGAACTGTAACATTACACTAATATGTTAAGGTTATATACATTTATAAACATGCAGTTTGGTGTGAACTGAAAGTACATCTGATATTACTCGTACTCAAAACTAATAAAAAAATTATACTGATTATTAAAAGTAGGTATTCAAATTATATCAATGTCAACTGCCTTATTAGGTAGCTAATTGAAATATTAAAAAAAACATTTAAAACATTTAACAATCCCATATCGAAAACTTTCAATTTTATCTGCTATCAGTAAATGTAAATGTACATGCCATTCTCATAAAAACCTTCAAAATACCTCAGTAGCTCTTAGTTCCCTGATGCGAGGGTTATGTGGCGGTTCAAGAGGTGCTCTCGAAACAGTCACCAATAGTTTTTCAGCCTCCCGAATAAGTTCGCGGTATTTTCTTTCAGCTTCTCTATCAGCTTCGAGTAAAGGATCTCTTTCTCTTACTGGAGGAGCTGATGGCGCATGATTACGGCGCCGAACACGAGGTGGTGTTGCCCCTAAAAAAAGATAAAGAATGATTGAGTTGTACTTATCTTTAAATGATTTGTAAGGTTTTTTAACTAATTAGAATGATAAACAAGTTGACGGACCAGGTTGGCCGTCAGATTTTTTCCCATTAGTAAGCAGTGACATCACGTTATCATGTCACACCCGTAGCCCGTGATACCACTTACGCGATACCATTCCACAGGATTAAGACGTCATGCCTCTTATCTTCTAATTTCACTGCCTAATCTGCACTCTATAATTAAAACACAACTCACAAAGCAGACTGCTTGACGACTGAATTTAAAAATGCTTCTTTATAAATTGAAAATTTTAGACTTAGCTTGAATAGCGAAATACTCAGACAGAGTTCTTTGTTATTATACATTTTATCACTTAAGTTACAGTTCAAATAGACTCTAGACGTACCAAGTTACCGCACTTTATAAAACAGAATTTTCAATATAAGATTAATACCATATTACTGTCAACAAAAATTATATCTTTTATTACACTGTCAACTTATGAATCTTCAAGTTTTATTAGTTGTATCATTCTTTACGTAGAATTAGTCAACATAAAGCCGTATCTGACATTTGTAATTTGTGAACTTACGAATATCAAAACAGAACTTAACCCTTGCTTATAATTCAGCGCGGCGGTGGATCCTTTTACATAACTTTCCACATATGACATAACAAGGTCAAAGACAATATTTATTTGTATAGTTGGGAAAACATATAGTTAATACAACTTATCTTGTTCTCTAAATAGAGCAAGAATAATATAAGTTCATTATTTTGCAACCCACGTCGCATCGTTGGTCACAGTTTATGTTACTATTTATTTAGTGTAACAACTTAGATTTTAAAAAATCATAGGTAGGTACTGTATTTTTTTAACTACCTATAATAAAACATAATTATATTCTCTGACGAGGTTACGACCTACATTGTTTGTGTCTACTTCACTAGAATCTATTATTTTATGTAACAATAAATATATTCATGAAAAATATAATATAAAAACATTGTATTATACATATAGGTATCGAGGAAGTATCAAATATACCAATGATAAATTTGTCTAACCTATTTGGAAGGTCAATGGAATTTTAATTTGAGTTATAATACATCCAAGAACCTTGATTGCGTTTTGTCGATCAAATGTTTTTTACAGCAAACGTCGTAATGGGTTTACATTGTGTACTGTGCAAGTAATCGGTAATAATCCAATATATCCTGTGCAATTTTTTTCATATTTATAAAGCTTGCTATTTAGCCGCTTACCCCAGGCTCAGACACCAATCCCCTGAGTATGATAAGGTTCATGTTGAATGGCAAATAAGGGCTCTACCTCAATCAACGTCATCTCGTCTCGACTTTTGACATCTATGCGGTCCTACACTACTACTTAACTAGACACAGATCTGCAGCTTGTAATAAAGTAGGTAATAAATTTTAGTAATGCTCACTTAAAATTTGGTAAATGTCGTGAATTAATAATTTAATGGATAAAGTAAATGGATATGGATAAAGAAGAAGCAGATGATGAGGTTAAGAAAATTTGGAATTTGGAAATGACGTAAGCGATATGTCATTTTATTACGGCACTTCTAATATTTATATTTATAAAAAGCAGTAATATTTATCCATCATTTTAATATTATTTATTAAAATTAATTACTATCGAAGTAGTTTTCTCAATAAGAAAAATCTTTTATGTCGTTTAAATTTTTAAAACATGTAAGAATGATGAATCTGTTACATAATCATACCAGCAGATCGTGGTGGTCGCCGGGGCGGTCTTCTTCGCCTCGCGCGCCGCCTTCCTGGTGACGCAGTGTCATCATCGTCATCTTCATCCCCACCGTCTAGCCCAGTGTCTCCATCTGAATCCACATCAGCATCTGACAGGATAGCTGTCTCTCGTCCTCTTGTTTTCATTCCTCTACATTCCTCGTCACTTGAAGCTCCCCCTCGATAATATGGTGAGCGGGGCTCGGGGGATATGTGTGGTGACAAATGTGGAGATAAATGCGGAGATAAATGTGGCGATAAGTGAGGAGACCTGAAAAAAGTAAAATACACATTGAATGTAATATTGTTCTTAGCGATTAAATGTTCCTATACCTTTATATATATACCTACTACACTAGCTGTTCTATGTTTACAAAATTGTAAACACTTATTTTACCAATTTTACTTATTTTACATTACATTATTTATCTGTATACAGAAAGTTAAGTAGGCCTAGGTGTCTTACCGCACCTAAGTGAATAAGTCTTATAGTACGCCCGATAATTTTATTTACTTCTTATATATTAAAAAGTTAATAATACATTAGTACAAAATACATAAGTTGTCACTTATTCAAAATTTTAATTAGAAAGGTGAATCTCACCTTGAACCATATCTAGCGGGATATGAATCGAGAGAGTACGGGGCGTGGTGCAACTGCGGGAGCTGTGGACACTGAAGCGACTGCTGATGCACCAGGTGCTGTGGCCGTCTGCGGTTAGGGGAGGTGGCCCCCAGCCAGGGATTTGTACGTATTCGACAACGCGGCCGAGGTGATGGCGTTGCACATACTATAGGTGGTTCTGGAACACATTTTCTTGAAGACGCGTTAGATCGCCGCTGAAAAATTGAAACATAATTTGTTATTTAAATTTATGATGCACAGTGCAGTAGAGTAAGTAGCCCATAAAGTACAACACATTAATCATATATTAGATATCTGTTTAGTATAATCGGAATAGATGACGGTACTATTGCACGGAGCGATAAAACGTCGTAAAGAGTTATTCGATCATAATGGACTCGTACCTGTGTAACATAAATATATACTAAGATACTACTACTTTGTTACTTAAAGACAATGATTACAGCTCCGATTCGTCCTTAATTATAGAATTGATATGAAATCTTCAGTGACATCAATACGTCGAAATTATGTCTTGATAACATCCACAAAAACATAACTGAACAAAAAGAATCAAAAAATGGAGTTGCAAACAAAAACTCTAAATTCAAAGTAAACCAATACCAAGCATTAAGCTTAAAAAACAACCGCTAAACACAACAACCAAAACATCGATGTTTTCTTATGTCGATATCTCTCTAAAAAAATCAAGTAATCTTAGTGATGGACTAAGCATTTGTTAATTCAAAATAGCCCTCTGTGAAGTAAGAGGGCCTGTCAAAAATTGCGCTCGGACTCCCTTACGGCAGCCGGGCGCGGGCTACATATAAATGTATGGGTGTCAGCATCAGTGTCCTCACTTTACGATCACTGTACACTATGCTCCCCAAGACAAGGAAGTTGTCATTGTCAATAGCAACATATACTAGTAAATTATTCAGAAACAAATGATAGCGAGTTTTAATTCGATATCAGCGCCATCTAGTGGATTTTATTTGTAAACTTTCATGATACCGTTGCTGATCAATTTATTTTACATGTAAGGATTTAAAAAATACTATTTAAAATGCATTTAGTATAATAAATGTATAAATTCTGTTTCTTTTTTATTTATATGATTACAGCAATAACTATTTAAAAAAAATAACTTAAACTGTAATAGACATTATTTTTTTATCTTGTCTAAATTTATTTTTTATGCTTTTTTTTATTTGAATGTTATTAAAAAACCTACATAATTTCAAATACAAATCCTTATGGATATTACGATGGTGGCAAAAAGCATAATATGTCCTATATATTCATGGCATTCATTAACATTTTATTAAAATCTTCCGTTTACTACATTACAAACAGAATATTTTAATTTAAAATAAACACACGTAAATAAAACAAATATATGAATGGTCTTATGTGTGAATAATAAAAAACAGGTCATATTTACTCATACAAAGCACGTCATTCTAAAAGAAATGTTAATCATCGTTATAATGTATTTAAAATACAAAGGTATTAAAACAATAAGCCGCTGGCGGGCTTTATTTAGCTTAGATAAAAGGTCGACTCCCCTCAATTTATCCGGTCTATTTAATTAATAATATAAAGCACGCCGTAGTATACACATGGGAACAGGAACCTATAGATGCTGTATCTCTGCTTAGTTGTTTACTGTAACCCAATTACGATAAATCGACATTGTAATGGAATTTCCGAAACGTGATTTGAATATAGCATAATTTTGAATTCTTGGTGAACTATAGTATTTCAGTAAGATATGTGTATATACTCGTATGTGACATACCAAATCGATAGAGCTTTGTGGCCTTTACTTGTTCACAAAATTAGTAGCTAGTATTGGTTTACTAGTCTAATTACGGTCGACACAAAGCGAAATTTTGTGTCAATTTATATTTTTGACAACTCAACGTTAAAAGTAACACCGATATCAAACGAACAATGAGGTATTCTAATTTGAACGGCTGTAGGCTCGCACTCTGCAACGTTGTATTAAAAATATACCGAGTGAAATTTGTACATGTGAAGTGTTGCATTCACCACAATATAGACAGTTGACAATGCCTCTGACTACTCCATTAAGCATAATAGTCGTGATGGTTTGTTTGTGTATATAAACTCAGTTCGGAAGTCTATATCACGAGAATAGGTTATTTTTTATCTCAAAAAAATAAAGCAGATTTGGTTGTAGGTGGCAGCTAGTCAAATATAATTTGGACATGAAATATTTTATAGATATTTCGACGGCCTTTTTGGTATAGCGTCGTGAGTCACACTACATTATCATCCAATGGCGAGTTCTTTCCACAAGCTTTTATTTAGTGTAGATAAATCCCAGATCTACCAATATTTTTTATGTCGTAAACATATATAAAGGGTATGTTTCAATGGTTAAGTTACCACAGTACAGTCTACTACAGGCAGTTTAAATTCAAAGTCCATGCAAGTTATATTTTTATTTGTATTTATTTATAGAAACTATAAATAGGTTTCCAGCAGTAACTAACCTTAGCAGGTTCGTGATATAGGTGTGTAGTAGGTGGAGCAGGCGGCGGCGGGGGCGCCACGAGCGGAGCGGCAAGCGTGGCCGGTGGCGCGCCCGGTGAGGTGCCATCTGTAGAATACCCTGTGCTGTATGCGCTCTCCGGGGACGAAAGGTGAGGTGGGGGGAGAGGTCCAGTCGTGGTTGTCGAGGTTATCCGCGACTGCTTTTGTTTACGCTTCTTCGCTCGCCCCAACTGCGCTTCCATCCATGACTTGAGCCGCGCGCCCAACATGCCGCCGCCGGCACCTGCATATAAAGTTAAGTTATGAGGCGGGTGGAAAAACTTTCAACTATTAAGAATACTCTCGTCTGAAACTTTTATTACTTTGTATTCATGGTCCGATAGGTATATCTGACCGTGAATACTAAGTAATAAAGAGTAACCATACCGTAAAAAATAAAAATAATTACTGAAATGAGAACATCATGTCCTAGTGATATACTACCCGACTTAAACCCCAAACGCCGTAAGTTCATATCTATTAAGGCACGAGAAAACGTTGAGTGTTATGTTTTGGACTGACTCTCCGATGTTGATCTAGGCACACCATTAATAAAACAAAATGAATCAGAGAGACAACGGTAGGCTCACCACCTGCTAGGTTGGATTCAAATCTACCCTCAAAAATCTGGCCATATCAAGTGTCGCGTTCAGAACAACATTGACAGTTAACAATGACTCTGACTACCATATCAGGTCTGTATTATGCAGCTGTCCTGAAGGCATATTATTACAGTTACTGAATGGTAAAGAATAATCAAATTTTACAACTGAAACTAAATTTTTATAAATAATCAATTTATAAAACATTCTACAAAATGAATCAAGTGATAAAGGAAAAGGCTGTGGTTGGTATTCTACTTTAGTATTGTACTCGTATACAAAGGAAGAAAACAGCAATGCCATTGAACGAGTTTTTTAGGGAGTACTGAAAAATAGAGACACAATAATGTTTTATGAGCTGTGCTCACGGCTGGTGAGTTGCGCAATTTGGTGTAAAATTTTACGCCTGCCCAAATTTAGAAGTACTTAGATATCCTGTGACTAAGTATTTATGTTATATTACGATTATAGACTGTGTACATAACATTGTAATGAATAAATGTATTATGTAACCTCTAATGTATTCTATTTTAATATAAACTTTTCTTTTAATATGTAAAATATGACGTCAAAGTTCGTATACAACGATGAATGCCTGCTGGATGGATGAAATATGTGACAAGAAACACGAGTTCAGTCTTAATTACTACAAACAATACCACCCACGTTTGTTCGGGAACTTTTACCCCCTCGGTATTCGCATAATGGAGCGCAGAATATATATATAAACGCGAATATGTATACTAACAATGGGTTCTAGAAAACTGCTTTAAACATATCTAAGCTTGCTTTTCACGAAAACGTCACAATTGTTTCGCGCTTATTCAAAATTTCCCTGTCATCAAAACTCACGTTTTCATACAAACAAAACCAGTGGCATAAAATGTTTTATCGTCTCTTCATTTTATTTCAGAGAAAAGGCGGCCGATAGTGGGAACCACAATACACTGTCTGCGGACCCTCGCAGTGTCGTATTTCAAGAAAACTGTAGCTTACTCGTAAAAAAGGGCGCAGTTCCACCCTCCCACTTCATTTACATCACACGACGTCTTGTGCAATGAAAATATATTATGAATATTGCATATTATTAGAAAGCAGTACAACACGTTACTCTTCTTCGCATTCTCAAGTTATTTTATGACTGGTATAACATTTGAATATTTAATAATACCAACTTTTAGTTATTTTAAACTGTTGTGTTTTAGACACTCTATTTATAGTGTTAACCGGGTCTTAACGTCGATAGAGGTAAATTTTATTTACCACAAAATAATACGTGCTAAGACTTGGTTAACAATATAAATAACTAGTAGAACTACTATGATAGTATATAAATAACTTAACTAATAAATAATGTAATATTGTGTTACCTGTGCTATTATTATACATCAAATGTATAAAGGTAGTAACAGTAATACAATCTAGATTGATATTTACTTTTTTCTTCGTAATAAGTATTTAATAATAAATCTTAAGCAATTATTTCCGCCTCTCCAATCCTATCAATCAACTCGAGCGAGAATGTAGGCACTTCGCCCGTTTATCAGAGAATTCTTCTCATAATTTGTTTTATATCTTTACTTTCCTATCTATTCTTCTATATTATATTCGTATCTTTATTCATTTCATACAGTAGTGATAATACTAAGCATAACCTATTTAAGTACCATACATACATATATCCTCACGACTCTTCATACACGAATAAAGATTTCTTACTGTTGATATTACATCATAATTCTGGTGGTGCCAAAGGTGCCAAATAATTGTCGCCATAGTTGACTAAATAACATTTTTTTACTAGATGTAATGCTCGACATAGTCCACTTTTGGAGAGCAAGGGTAGCTTAGTCCCCGCGATATAATCTATCTTCCCATCAAACGTGCATAATTAGTATGCATGCATTGCCGTAAACACATGTTAAAAAAATCGTATGTGAAGTACACCGTATAGTAGAGTCGGCAAAATTATATATTATATTTTCTAGAAATGGTTACACCAGGCAGTGACGTTCGTGTAACTTTGTTCGACTTTTCTCACTAAGAACTTTGTATTACAATGTATTCACATACCACCCATAAACATTAGGAAAATACTTACCATGAGTAGGTGTATATGTATTCTTTTATTTATATACTAAAAGATAGTTTGTCGAAAATGTTTCTGCTAGTCGGTAGAAGTTTTTACAAGATCTATTTACATGTAGATCACTGTAGTACTCGTATTATATTTGTTCCTACCTGCGCACGCGGTTTCACCCGCATGAAAATATTATGCCTATAAGCTATTCTGATGCATAAGCTATGTTACTGTACAGCTTCATCAAAATGCATTTAGTAACTTTACGTGATAGACTAACAAATATCCATCCATCTATCCAGATTTCCTTACTTCATTTATAATTTCTATAATCTGAATTACTTATAACACGTACAAATATTTTCTTTTGGCTAATTTTCAATACATTTAAAATTATTATAAAGCGCAACATACGTTCAATGTAATAGGTATCGAATGATCCCTCTTCAAATCAATCTGTTACCAGATACTCGTTTAATTTAAAGACATCTACACTACTGGCTTGCACCCTCCTACATTTGTCCTGGGAATAGTAAGCTGCAGAAAAGACGGATGATGCGGACTTATCTGGTTGGGTACGCAAACTTACGAGATTTAGCTAATATTAGCAATCCATTACGGGATGCGGTGCGAAGGGCGCACGTCTACAGCGGAGTGTTGACTTATTGATGAGCCAGGCACTCAATATCGATTGAAAATGTTAAAATTTTTAAGGAAACGTTGATTCTGTAAACAATATTAGCTCGTGTGTTCTTATTTTTATAGACGATAAATTTAGCAACATTGTTTATAAATTTCCCTGACTATTGTACTGCAGAAGTACATGTACATATTTAAAATACCACAGTTAATACCTAAGTCCATATAAATTAATTACAATTGACATCAACTTGTTATAAAATGACATGCAAATTGAAACCCTAACGAAAGCAAGTAGAAAAGTCGTATTTAAATCTGTTTTAACACCGGGATCTTGTATTTAGAGAGTATTTTCCATCTAGATATACTTAATACCCTTTAACACGCATTAATCTCTACTTTACTCTTTTCATCTACTATAATTCGTCTCATCCAAATCAATACTGAAAACTCTACCATAACCATTCTTCGAACAATTCCATACCAAAAAAAAAACATTATTGAAAAAAAATACCTTCTAGAAGATTACAGAGAAAATAACACATCAACATTTTTACAATAATAGATACCTACACAAAGAAACGCTAAACAAAAAAGGTTCCTCGTAACGAAATAAAATGCCGATAAAATCGTTCAATGACTCTACTACGAGCTTTCTCCGAATGAATAATAAATTGGAAAGTACAGCAATATATTTTGGTTTCGGCACAAAGGACCTCTCTTTATAACGGACCACGATGCGGTCGGAACACGTCCTTTGTACAATTGGTCAAGTTTCCATTGCGTGGTTATCAATAAAACTGTGTTCAGATGAAAACGACTAAGAAATTTATATGAATATAAAACTCTCTATTGCCGGGAATATGGCTGACTAAGTGATCTAGTAAAAGTATTGCTCTCCTTTTTTTAATTCATCAATGCAACACATGTAATATCACATATAATGTACAATAAATAGTACAATTATTTCACCGGTATACTCACTCTCTACATAATATATGTAATAAACAATACATCATATAGTGACACCTCAACACATAAATAATGCTACAGTGGTGAGGTGATACCGCGCTACACAACAAATAACATCTAAAATTTAAAAAATATCTAATCATGCATTAAGACAGGAATGAATAATAGTAGTAAAAATATAAACAAATAACTGCTGTACCTGTACAGTTGTGTTCGGACATAGGGAATAGACATCAAATAGAAGATTGGTAAAGAGTGTATATCATTCGAAGCGGAAGGATGCAGCTGCTAAGGAAGGTCCAGACTGACCTAACGTTATCGGATTGATCTTGTGTTATCTGATGAAGGGTCAAGAATATCCGAAAAGGGTAATCAGTATTCATGCATGGGGCAAGTGTGATGAGTTAATTAATATTATTATGTAAAGATATTATTATCCAAGGATAATCTCTCTATCTACCCTCTAAAGGATTTAGCCTAAAGACAAATAAATATAATTGTCTTCTGAATAATATATGAAGTATTTTTTTTTCTTTTTCAGTAACAGATAATTAAGAAATAAGTTGCAAATGTTATAAAAACAATCGATAAAACGTAAAAGCTTCGTCAGCTATTTTTATAAAAGGGATCGTACATAAAACCTGTTGCATACAGTCCTCTCTATGTAACACGAGTTTATTCAGGTAGCTACTTTAGTGAATACATGAATACAGTAAAAGATTTTATTTATGAAGGGAACACTCGTTACGACAAAGTGCGGTAGATAGTAGCGGAGAAGAAGAGCACGAGTAAATACCTACAGTAGTAATGATAGTGTGGTTAACAAACCTTTTACCACGAAGATGTAATTGCATACTTCTAAACTAGCATACTATTATGAAGAATATATGTATCAGACACTTTCTGATCATCTCTATAGAAAAAGAAATATCTTAAAAAATAATATTTGCTCAATTTAATCTATACTCAGAACTATAAATAGGATTGGCTAAATATAGAACTTTGGTATAGAACTGTCTGAAAAAAAATAGAGAATAGTATGTGAAAGACAACATCCAAAAGGCAATAAAATACCCGATACATAATACTACAGTGAAATATTAATAGTACAGTTGAACAGAGTAACTTTGCAATTTAACTTCGACGAACTGGAAATACTTATTCTCATGCTGAGGCTAACTACGAAACTTAGTTTGTAGTTAATGGTTTAAAATGCTATGATAAACGTTGCAATCAATTATTACTTCCATTTCTATCAAAGAAACATACTCCAATAATATTTCGAATTTTTAGGTTTTATGCCACTTACATCGCATTAATTGTACTTTTTTATATACACAAAATTTTTATTTGCTTCTACTAAAAATTTGAGTTCACTGTAATAAATAAATTCGTGTTATACTGTATGTACCTAATGTTCATCAATCACTTATGAAACGTTTGTTTTTCCCCTAAAAATAATCAGATATTCTTGCGAAAGAGATCACAAAATGCCTTCCCTTTTAGTTTAAATGCATAAGTAAAGTTTCCTGAGAATATTATTTTGCTATAACTACTAAACATGATTAAAACTACTCGCGTACTTTAATTGTTACATTATTATATTTTTATTCATTGTTTATTTTCTATATATAACTAATTTAAGCAATAATAGCCATGATACTTTATTCTGTATATGACACACAAAACTAAATCATTTTTTTTATAGCTACTCTATAGACAAGACATACTCATCTGAAATACGAAAATGAACTACGAACAAAACAAAAGTCACTTGCCGCCGGAGCTTGATTACTACATTAAATATTCATTTATGCAGCCTATCTTCAGTGATGCAAGAGAAGAAGAAAATTGACAAGTCTGTACTTTCGACTGTTCGTTCGTATATTATGGGTATCAGTATAGATATTTCTAAATCTAGCTTAAGTTTTAGGTGCAAAAATTCTTAATCTATTTTCTCTTTATATGACAATTTCATTGGCTATATAATAAAAGACGACAAAGGAAGAACTTTAATTATTAAAAATTTTTCAAGTTCTTATTTCGGGTGCTCTAATTGTAGAAGACAAATATATAGCAGTAGAATATGACTAGTATGATTAATACAATTTTCTATATTCATTTAAAAACATATTCATTACTTAATAAATGCGATAAAGTTCTATGTTCAAATTATTTCCATACTAAATGATTATCAGCTTTACTTGGACATAAATGGGTTGCTCCCCTTGTACAGGCAAAGAGTAACAACGTAAGTCTTACATTAATTAACCAATTAAGAGATGTGAAATATCTCTTGAGTTTTACACAAAGTATATCTGTAATAAGTATCATTACGAACTTCTCAAACGCTTAAGAACCACGAAACTCATTACAAATTTAGCAAAATATGTAAATAAGGATAATAATTTCAAACGCTTCACGCAACGCCGTATTTTGCAAGTAGAAAGTACCTACTTAGAACTTCTGCATATTCAAAAACGGTAGTGACTTCTTTTTATTGCTATTACTGACATGAAACTCATATATATGAGTACATTTATCTACGTCCTGAATGTGATACGTGCGTCATTAATATAAAAAATATATTTCAGCAAAACACGCCTTTTTATTATCACGTTTGTGATGGCTAAGGAACTCTATATAGACAAGGGACACTAGTATATACTGCTATACTTCCATTATATGTAGGAATGTGCCTCGGGGCTCCCGTGGGATGTAAACATGGAAAATGAAACAGCTATCGTCCATAACTGGAGAAACTGTATTATTATCCCTCAATTTACTCACACATAGTATCGCTTTATATCGTAGTTGTACCAATATTTATTACCACACATCAAATTCGATCTTTTCTACTTATGTGAAAGAATTGCTTGACATAATTATATACATCGAAAACAAATTTATATTCTACATACTATATAATCTACGAGAATATTTCACTTAACTCCAAGTAATAATCTGGAATTCAGAATTGTCAATGCGCCTAAAAAATAGGACAGTAATAATTAAACCTATTTTAGCCTATGTGTTAAATAGCTAGCTTACATGTTATGTAGTCAAACATTTAATATATTATTTTGATTTTAAGTTTGAAGTTTGAGAACAAGAAAAATCAAGGGGAACTATGAAGTAGTAAATGAAACTATGAACTTCAAATGTTGGCATATTTTTATACATGGTGTGTTGTATATAAAAACAGTCATAAAACCAAGTAAGTATATTAAATTAATACATGCCATGTAAATATTTATCAACTTTAAAGATATATGTGCTGATTGTATGTAGCTGATGAGCTGTAGTATTAAGAAATACTTATAAAATTTTCAGAATTGTTTATTCATTGAAGTAATATTTCTTAGTAACTTAGTGTATTTAAAAATAATTTAATTTATGATCGCTTGTAAAAATGAGTATTGCTCTGGGTGCAAACGTGTCACTGAACAAGTGTATATGTTTCAAGCATCAACGCAATTTAGGACATATTTTTTCTAAATTAGCCTTTACTGTATTGTTTTGTGGGTATTTTGTTCAAATATTGGATCATAACCTACTTTATCACTGTAACCCATTTTGAAGATCTAACCAATTGATACGCGTGAATAAAAAAGGAAAATTATATCAAAATATTTAAAACCACATAAACCACAAATAATTCTTCACGAAAGACATAGTTGCGACCCGACTGTCTGCAGGCTAATTGCAAGCCGCTTTCAGCTTCGTGTACTCGCCGAGACTTGTAAGAATTGTGAAAAAAACGACAAGGAAAGAAAAGAATAACGGGCTAGAGCGCGCTGCCAGACACCGGCGATTGTGTGACGAACCGAGACGCTATAAATGAGCAGTCTCAACCCTCATTATCTTGCTAAAATCCACATTTCATCCCTAACTTGTTACATTAATATTGTCGAAGACTAGCTGATTCCATCAACTTCGTTTGCGTAATTAATAAAGACTTTCAGTAACGTAGTTTTTCAAGAGTTCTCTCGAAATTCGAGTGTCTAAAGAAATCTACATACTTTTCCTTATTTCTTACAAAAAGTACCTATAATTGTAATGAGTTTTGTATGCTTTACATGAGGAATAATTTTACATACAAAATTATTCTTCCTATTTCATCTTCTTGAACATTTATTTACACGACTAAATGTAGCCTCTGTACTTCGTATAAATATAATTACATCAGAAAAGACAACATACAGACAGACCGATAAACAGAATAATTTTTGCATTTACAATATTAGTAGATATATATGTAGAATAGTTAGTAGTAGGTACTAAATTAAGTACCAAAATTATTTTCATATAATATAATTAAAATGACACATAAACCTTAGAAAACTTGTTATTACTTGTTGTACATTGCATAACAAGTAATAATAACAAGTTTTCGATTAGGCCTATCATAGCTGTAACCGAAAATACCGTACTACCGTACGTACCGTACTGCATCGATCCATGAAAATAATAGAAATAGTACATTAGTAGTAATATTAAATTTAAAAATTATGTAGTAGGTGTATAACTAAGGAATTGCGTTACTTTAAAATTGAAATGCATTTTTGTTAGTTAAATTTTGAAGTATTAGAAATTTGTAATCAAAACAGAGTATAAAAATTTCATTCAAAAAAAGGGTAAAGTTTTAACTTGATAAATTACAAAGGAAGCATTTAACCCCTTGTAGAAAATTTTAGGGAATATTTTTCTCATTCAATTTGCCAAATTAAGTTAGAAGAAACCAAAGCTATCTTGAACAACAACATAAACGAATTTGTCAAGAGATGAAAGATGAAAGGCCAGGAGAAGTTCTTAATCCACGAAGGGGCGAGAGAGAAATCACGTATAACTCAATTTACTTCGTCTACGTGCTTCCTGAGAAACACACAGAACACGTGCTACGATTACAAAATATGTTAGTAGTTAGGTAAACTACTGAACATAACTAGACAAGAATAACTATGTCACAACAATGTTCAAATCTAATTCAAATTAATAACAAACCCAGAAACTAATAGAAGCCTTAACAAATTCGACAGAGAAACCGGCAATGAATATCCTTTTATAAATCACCCAACATTCAATACAAAGCGTATTAATCTGAATTCAGCACAACCCTTCAAAAGGGATCACTTGGAAGCCTCTCACAGGGGCAGTGGGCTATCGAACGAACCGCTCATTTGTTAGTGCGTCGGGAAGGCAGAGCCAGAGCGCTGGCTGAATATGGATCCACGTGCGGAAACAGAAATATCCGGTCGGTGATTATCAATTAAAGATATAAAATTAATACTCTAATCTATGTGTATAAATTCTAAATATGTTTGTTTTGTAAAGTTTAGTACTTACAGGGGCGCGCGGTTGTGATGTATACGAATTTTGAAGAAACAAGCGGCGCCGGGTTGCATGCCGGGCGTAGTGAAGCGACACGCGGCGGTGGCCGAGTGTGGCCGACTGACGCACGCGCGTGTCTACAATCTGCCGGCTACGACGCTACGCGGCTACACACCGCCGCTACGGTGGGCGCATTTTCACCGCCGCGAAAGGCGGAAATTCTACGTAGATGCAATGTTTTTAAAACGAGCCTAATTTTAAGTTTCTTTATATTATAGTTATGCTTAACTAACTTAATATCAATTGATTATACGTCTTTCTTCTAAAAGGTGATTACTTGACCATACAAAATAAGGTTACCAGGTATATGTAAACGTACATAGTCTTACGCCGCTCGCGAACAAATTTTGGTGTAATAACAAACATGCCGTAGCTCAATTCTCCTGGCAGCTATTACGTTAATGTGCGGGGGTAGATTTGGACAATAAAAATAAACGTTTACTCACCGTGGGGACGGCAAAATTCCTAAACGGCCTAACTTTGTTATTCATGCAACGTTATTAAAAACAAACAGGTTCCTGCCATGCTTTTTTATTTGGCCAAAGTCATAAATTATGCGACGTCTCTTCAAATATTAACAAACAACTTTTTCAGATGAAAAAGTTTAAGATTGTATATCAGTCCACACAAGTTTTCCGTTGAAATATTTAGTTACGTCTACCCTGCAATTTGTTTTCTTATTATTAAAAACTTGTAATTACAAAAATATATTATAATAGAATACATATACAGTAATGCAAGTACTGTACATATTAATTATGGTCTTTACTGTGTATGGTCCTGTTACAATACTCGATACATTATATATAACAAAAATTTTAGATAAATTATGTTAATACATTCAAAATAATAATATTAAGATTTATCACACCATAGAAACTGTATACTTATGTAAACGTGTACGTTTTCAATTGTATTTCTATTAAAGTATTGAGTCACAAATCTTCCTTATAGGTACTTTTAATTATATAATTAAAAAATGTTATGAAAATAGTAGGCAATTGAGTCAACAATAAATCTCCATTTGGTCACTACCGATATAACATACCTAACTAACATTTTATGATTGTATTTATATCATGATGCTCCACTACTTAAAGTTAGAATTACGTGCTTTGTATGATACATTTATCCTCGGTTAATTCTTTACTACTAACAGTACTCATCCCCCTCAGTTATGTAAAACATCACTTTCTATAGTTAAGCAACGGCGAACTAGAGGAACTTTATAACAACCCAGAAAATTGCAAATATACCAAGCAGTGGTGCAGCAGCTATGCTGAGCTGCTGCTTGTGATACATTCCATTTCTATTTCACCCAGTTTTCACAGATCACTCATACAGCAAATCATACCTCATCAATGCAACGATGATGCTCCACAAACTATGGAGCATCTCGTTAAGGAGTGCCCGAGGTTTGGTCCCATGGTTCGAGTCTCCGAACCATTCCATCTTCCATCTATCATCAAAAATTAATCCACCATCGATGCCTTCATATCACGCATTTCATACATTATTTACAATTTGAAACACTTCAACCAATCATAATAATCAAATAATAATCATCATCATCAACAACACCACCAACAATTTTATTGTTTTAGTCTTTTGTTTGTTAATTATATTTTAAAATTTTATCTTAAGTTTTCTTTGTTTCTCTCTTTCTGTTTCGTTTATCTAACTTCGTTGTTTTATTTTGTTTTCTCTTTTCTTCAATATTATATATAATATATGTAACACCAAAGTAATTCAAATGAAAACAGGAAAAACATAAATTTATAAAACCATATCATCTCTACTGAAGCGAGCGTACACTGCAGGCGCAAACGCGGAGGCGTAAAGAGAATAATTTTTAGATTCTATAAAACAAAACAGTCACAGCAATTAAATAATTACTAACAAAAAGCCTAAGCTAAGCCTAGCCTCCACGCGATCTTCCCGGAAGGCATCGTGATAATTTTATGCTAATACCACCATTATGGGCTAACTGACCGACAGATCAGTTAGACCTAGAAATGACAATTTCTATAACTAGAAATGACAATTTCTATACTATAATCCTACACATGCTACCTACGAAAATGTTATACGCTGGTGCCTCATCTACGTAATAAAATCTAGGACAATCTCGGTTGTATCTATCTACTCTACTACCGTATCTAGTAATTTTAGATAGTTGACGACAACAGGACATTTTAATCCAATATGCACCTAATACTTTTTATTTTTGATACGTATTAATCTTTCCATGTGAAATAAAAAAAATCATAATATTTCGTGAGTCATATGTGATCAGCGTATATGTAAGCGGAGATATAGCAGCATTATTGTCGATGCAGCATGTTTTACCGAAAATGAGTATTTAAGAATAGAATTTTTTTAGCCAGGACTGCTTTTGTATTGGCGACAAAAAATCAATGTTCATTGTACCACTTTAGAGCATGTTTTAATTTCAATATATATAAAAGCAAATAATATGTTCGAAATTACCGAATATTTATTGCAAATCTTAAAACTGACACATTTTATAAGTAACTGGCTACCCACCCCGGCTTTACACGGGTGTACATGTATTATTATACATATAAAACTTACTCTATCTATTAAAAAAAAAACACAAAAAAATCCGTTGCGTAGTTGAAAGATTTAAGCATACATAGAGACGGACAGACAGCGACAGCGACTTTGTTTTATACTATGTAATAATAATATATATATTTTTTAATTTATATATCTGTGATCAGCCAATTAGCTTTTATCAGATTTTATAGCTTTCGTTATCTGTCGCTTTCTGTTACCTCATCTAGTAATGTGGTCCTGTTTTTATATACATCTGCTGTTTTTAATCGTAGCCAGACGTGACCTTTTCAGCCTGCATACAGATCCCTAGAGTCCAAGAGAGTTGTTGCTAAAGGGTTGGTGTTGAAGTCTTTGCCGGTAAGCCTTACAGGAGCGTTTTATCTCTTCGTGCACCGTTATGATCTCTGTGTAGTCGTGCACCTCCCTGTTTTTTATGTACCATTGAATATGGTCTTTAGCACTTTACTTTGGTAACGCTGCATTATTTCGATATTGGAATGACTTACCGATCCCCATACCTTTATACCATATGTCCATATAGGCCTTAAGATGGATTTGAATATAAGAACCTTATTTTTCCAGGCTTAGAGCTGATTGTCTGCCTATTAGCCAGTGTATGTCTCTAAGTTTTATATTTGCCTGTTCTCATTTAGCCTTAATATGATCACGCCAAGTAAGTCGTCTATCGAGATGCATACCCAAATATTTAATGGTATTGTTATGAGGCAGAATACAGCCGTCAAGCGTCACTGGTGGGCAGTCCCCTCTTTTTAGGGTAAAGGTAATAATAATAATGATAAGAAAATGTTTTTGTCATAATAATACAATAGCGCCATCTATCCAGATAAATGCAGAATGAGTAGCATTTCTAATCTGTGGACATGAGTGACATTAATTGTCAAAAAGTTTTCATGCGTCAATATTCTATTTTCATATTTACCTATTGTTTCTATTTTATGCAAGAAATTCGTTCTCAAGTTTTTACTAACTTTAATCATAAATTTCTATAACAGTTTATTTCTACATAACTGCCGTTCACTAACGTTACTATAATTACAATAGAATGAACTACAGTAATGCCATGAATGTACTAATCATTTGAATCACGATGAAAGTGCATTTAAAATAACTGCAAGTAGACGAAGTGTGAAAAATATCATCTGTTTGGTATATTAGTTAATTAAATTCTTGATATGGCGGATAGCGGTTCGTTTGTAGCTAAACCAGCACGAGGCTGGTTGCACCCGGATGCTGTCCTTGCTAGTGACGGGATCACGTACGCAGTCAGGGTATGAACTCTATTTATACATTCAATATATTCATTGCTGCATACATGGGTACACATTGCTCGACAGGATGTACTAGTGACGTCTATTCAAATCTAAACCATATTGTTCAAACATAGACACCAGTTATTATTGTTATGCATGTAGATAAATTACTAACTTACCATAATTGATGTTGCAGTATTTGTTATTGTAAGATGCAACATACAATTTTATTAAAATCATTGTACAAAACAATATGTTATGTTTTTTTTTTGTTTTTAAATAATAATTTGGCTTTGAAGTAAACAGTTCAAGAACAGTAACTTTTTTATTGTGACATGTGTGCATGTGAGAGACTCAAACATTGACTGTAAGGCATCATATATTTTAAATGTTTGTTAAGCATTCATTCATAGACTCAAAGAACTTATGGCAAGTGTAGAATCTCAAAAGCAATACTAATTTCCATAAAGAAATAGTGTAGATTACAAATTAATATATGTCTAGTTTCTAATTTAAATATTTTAATGTATATAAATATCATACTCTTAAAATGTGTATTTAATTTTATTTACCTGTGTATGTGTATATACTAGCTGTCCTGGCAATCATTATTTTGCAATAAAAATTAATATCACTATTGAAAAATAGGGGTTGATGGTAGAAGGGTGAAAATTTAGGGTTGTATGTATTATTTAATGCCACATTATAAACAAAACAAATGTTAACCTTATCACTTAGGGATATGAAAAATAGATAGTAGCTGATTCTTAGACCTAATGAATATGCATATAAAATTTCATAAAAATGAAGATGTTTCGGAGGAGTATGGTATCCACCATTTTGACACAAGAATTATATATAGGATATAATGAGTTATAAGTTTTAAGGGTATTACAAGCACAAGTGACTTTAAATCTTGTCTCAATCTCTTGTTATTATTTCCTCAGTACATTGGTTGCATGGAGGTGTTAACATCAATGAAAAAACTTGATTTTGAAACAAGATCTCAAGTGGCCAAGTGAGTATATTGTGATTTATTTCCCTAAAGGCTTGTTTTGGCATACTGGAAAACTATTCGGTCAATTAGGTCTATAAATTTGTCATAAATATCACTAAGGAGTCATGTACATTTAATACAATAACTCTTATAGGAAATGTATTAAATGACTATTAAAAATCAAATGATAAATGCTATAACAGCTAATTTGTTTGTATGTTAGTTTGTGTATAGGTTCTGTGAAAGTTTAGTACAAATTTGAATACATGTTTTTCAGAATGCACTTTTTTACTTAATTAATTAACATGTATATACATATAGTCAGTGACTATTTAACATAGATCACAACAAATTACCTATAAGAGAGTTACAATAAAGATTTTCATGTGATAGTTATCCAACTTTTTGTTTGAACCATGTTGGTGTACATCTAGATACACAATTTCTTCATACAGAAAACACTCATAAACAGAATTTACTCAGTAAATTATCTAATGACTAAATCAAGTTCATTCAGCAGTTTAAAGTTGCTTCCTTAGTCAGAATTTTACTTATTTATTATGAATCAGACGATTAAAATAAGTAAAATTCTGATGATGAATGATTTATTAATTCATTATAATAAATCATTTTGTTATTGGTTTGCCTTTATTTGAAGTACAGTTAAGCCTGCGTAAGGGAGAATTGGGTATGTGAGAAACTTATGAAAGAGAGTATTTTTCAGATATGGATTTACTACTTAAATCTCAAGTGAAAATCATAAATTTGAATTAGTGCTGTCACTAATACAAATTTATGGTTTTCAAATAGATGATATAGAAACTGACTAGTGAAAAAAGACTGTTCTTTTTTTCACTAGTCAGTATAGGTATAGTCTAGTAGCAATATTAGTTGTAGAGGAACTAATATTGCTACTAGACTATACCCCTGTAAGAAACAATTAAATATTTTATGGAAATGGAATACTTTGTATGGCTGTATAGACTGAACAAGTTTAAATAGATGTAATTTTAGGTGGAACTACTATAGCAATTATAATTATTTTGCTCAATAAAGTTAACATATTGAATTTCCAGAGAGTGCATCGCTCGCGTATGTGCTGCTGCAGGTCTTCGTTCAGCAGATAAGAAAAGACGAGTCAGCCAAGCAGCTGCTCGGGCCTTAGCAGCTAAACCTCGAATGTCGCATACAGGAGAGAATGTAGCTCTCACTGTATCTTCCAGAGCTATAACCCTTGCTGCTCTGGAAGGTGGGGAAACCGTCGCCAGACATGAAATGCCCCGAGTATCTTTTGCTTCTGGAGGTGATTCAGATTCCCTTGATTTTGTGGCATATGTAGCAAAATCAGCGCCACCTACAGAATGGAGAGCCTGCTATGTGTTGGAATGTGGAGGAAGATTGGCTCAAGATGTTATTGCAACTATTGGACAAGCTTTTGAATTACGTTTCAAGGAGTTCTTAACTAAACCTTCATTGTAAGTACATTTATTTATTCCAAAATATTTTACTATACACTAATGTGCTAAACTAATATGACAATTATAAACGCAGTAAGTATTATACTTTCAATATGAACAAGGGAAGGTAGTAATGAGAATCAGTAGACCCTCACATGGTCCCTTCTAGAAACTTGTGGTTAATTGCTGTCGAATTCATCCTGATGGCCGAACTCCATCCTCATCCTATCATTCTCCTCTGGTACCACGCCAGCGTATTCCCTTACCATAGGTAGGTGTACCATTCCATTATCAACCATCAAAAAATAATATACATAAAACAGTCCTGTAGATATCTGTTTTTTTTTTTAATAATAATAACCCAGGTCAATGTCAAGCTTCTTACTTAGTTAATGTATATTATTATCACTTATTTATTTATTATTATTATTTCCTTAATATTAGATCATCACTTTTAGGAAAATGTTGTATCATTCACATATGGCCAGTCATGAAAAATGATAGTGATACTAATCATACTATATTATTATGACTACAACAGGAAAATTTAAAATTCATCCATTCATTTCATCTTTTTAGTTTTTATTTTCTACAAAGTAATATTTTAGTCGATTATGCAGATACATACATAAAGAACAATATTGATTATGTACACTGCCCATGTACCCATAGCATCTCAAATGGGTTAATATTCATCAGGACTGAAGGTGGCCTATTCGTCTTTATAAGAATAAAATATGAGATAAAATAAGTATGTGATAAAATAAGAATATATAGCGTGCGAGAAATCGGATTACGTAGAGAATTCTGGTGTCATCCCTCATATCCCGTAATATCACTGCTTTATCTCGACTCATACATAGCTTACAAAGCGTCTCAAAATCTTGAGACTGAGGTGCACACGCAGACGACTTCTTAGAAAGTATAATACATTTTCTTTAAGTTCGGTTGTGTAATTGTTGTTGATAAATTTTTCTTCAGACTGAACGTGAACGGATCGCGGTCATCGGGCAACGAGGCGATAGCCACGGCGGCTGCGCTGGAAGACCGCGAGTATTACAACGACTTGCCCGACAAGATGCCCCCGGAACCCGAACCCGCGCCCGCGCCGCCGCCACACAGACACCCGCCGCCGCCACCGCTCGCCTCCCTTGCACCTATCTCTTCGTATGTACACTACTAACGATGCCATATTGCTGAGTCCTTGAAAACTTAAAAAAATGTAATGAGGTGTTCTATAGGCAGTTCGATATTACTAAGATTGTGTGCCTTGATTTTAAAATAACATATATTTCAAATATTTTTCAACCATCTGCTGCATTCGTCAATTATTAAAAGTTTTGATGATATTTAATGAGCTTTAATCCATTGATAGTTGCACATTTATTTTGTTTAGAAGTTTAATTATTTTTTCCTAAAATAAAATCTTAAGTCATTTAAATTATATAAAGTATATATTCATAGTCGGTCAAAAATAAAGATAGACAGTAAACAAACAATAATGGGTATATTTTAAACAAATTGTCTGCTATGTGTGCGTCCTAATTAACATTAATGTATGTTTATTCTTTATCAATTTTTTTCTTGATATTAATTTAGTAGTTAAGTTACTTAGCTTTAGCATATTTACCATCTTAGTCTTCAATACAGTTGCGAGGAAAGTGTCCGTCACTACGTGAACCAAACACCCCCACCTCGGACCCCGCCCACCGCACTGCTGCCCAACCATCATACGGATATATTTGACATGCGTAAGTTACAACATATAATTATAATTACAAATAATTATAAACTCTATTAAGTACTGCAATGTATCGTAATTACAATGGTCATAAAATATGAAACATCTAATCAACTTACATAAAATGCCAACCGAATATACATTGTTAGATTTAATTTTAACATACAGTTAATAAAGTGATATATAATAACTGCGCCGGCATATAAAATAAACACAGTGAAGTCAGTTAGCCCATCATGGTGATTGATAATTTATATTATAATTTTGACAGTATACTTATTGTATACTTTCAAAATAGGTGTCAGAAAGAGAATTTAAATCGCGTATATAGCGTAAGTGGCATTAAACAATATATTCGTGTTTTCTCTTCGGGCACAGAACCGTTCACAGCGTCGCCAGTACCGCTTACTTCGAGTGTATCTTCCTCATCATCAGCGGCAACAGAACCGCTAACAGTTGAGGCTCAAGCAGCACTGCTAGAGCGCGAGCCCTGGTACCACGGATTAATATCTAGGAACACCGCCGAGAAGGTAATCCGCACTAAATAGTAATAATATAATATATCTCAGTACAATTCACACAGGGCCATCTAGTCCCAAGGTAACCTGAAATTGTATTATTAGTACTAGACAGCTGATATACATATATAATATATTTGTAAATCCATGCATTTTATACATAGACAACAACAGGACCAATACCAACAATCATACTCATGAATGCAAATGTTTGTACTAAACTGCTAGAACATCGAAGCTGTCAGAAAAGCCAATACCAAACACTAATAATTGAATATGACGAAGTCATAAATAGTAATAAAATATCGGAAACCGATTACCCATGTTAAGTACAGAAGAGGAGGTAAGTCACGGCCCCACTGATAGATTTATGCTTTTTTATGTCTGTTAAAAAAATAAACCAAAACAGTATCCGCAAGATTATAATTTAATTACTCATTCATTTGTGTCTTGAACCTTTTTTATGTAATTGCATTGGCAATTAAATTGACACTGTCCACCTAATAGTAAGTGGAAATCATCGCCTATGTACAACACCACGTCAACATCAATATTCTGCATCGTAGTGCCTCTCAATCGTTGCTATTCCGGAGAGAAAGGGTCATGTCACAGAAACACTATTTGTTTTTTTTTTTGAGGGGTTTGTGCTGTTGTCAAGTGCTTTAGACTTGTAGCACTGGGATCTGCGTTTCTTTTATGCATGAGTGAGCTACAAGCACATAGGATGTATAGTGCCGTGTCCTCTTCAGCTTAGCAGAATTTGCAGATTTTTGTTGAACACAACAAACATCTGGCAATCAAGTTTGCCAGGTGTTCATTCAATTTACATAGTCATGATGCATATATTCTTTTTACTCAATAGCTAGCTGTATTATCTAAATTTCTAATACGTATAATCATAACCAACAGCTGGTGGTAGAGGACGGCGAGTTCCTGGTGCGCGAGAGTGCGGGCTCGCCCGGACAATTCGTGCTCACCGGCTCCCGCCGCGGGGCGCACAAACATCTCTTACTCGTCGACCCCAACGGCGTTGTACGTACCTATTTCTCTATCCCAATCTCTCTTTCGCTTTCTCATTCACCAACCATCCTCAACTCTTAGCTCTAAGGCAAAGCTTACAAAGTTACAACGCATATATATTTCACCTTTGAGCATAAGTTCAAACTTTGAACAATTATTTATACTGTTTTTTTTTTTTCACAAAAAATTGTAAAGATAAATTTGTGCAGAGCATGCTCACTTCCACAAATTACTATTTTAGTTTTTTAAATATTCTAAAAGAAAGCCTTTATAGGTTCATAGAACAAATATGGGACCAAATGCAGAGGCCACTCCAATGTTAGAGGACTTATGGAAAGATTGATGACCAACTTGTGCCGCCTGACTAATGCATAACGCAAACATAGGTCTTGTACATATATTGTTTATATATGGTGTATACAAGATTCCCTTATGTACCTGTGTGTTTGCAATGAGTTGGTTAGCAAAATTAGTTTAGACTATAAAATTATTTGCTATTTTTTGTGATACTAATTTCATGTTTTTTAAATGTTTCAAATTAGTATTCCTATTTTTTTGTTTGTTTGTTTAAATCTTTAAAACTGTGATATGCTACAGAGTTATCATGCTTTTTGACCAATAACTCTCATATATCAAGTTTGATTGCTCTACGTAACTGATGTCAATATATAGTTATTTATTCTAATACTTTTAAGGTTCGAACGAAAGATAGGGTATTTGATAGTGTACCGCACCTGATCAAATACCACTGCACCAACGAGTTGCCGATCGTATCTGCTGACTCAGCGCTGCTGCTCCGTAAACCGGTGCTGCGTTCGGGAGCATCCTGAGACGAGTTGAAAGGGAGGAAGTCGAGACGTATGCGGAAATGAACGCAGCATCACCGACAACTCCCTATATTGTACCTAATAATCTCGAATGATAAATTAAAAGCCTGCGCAGACAATTGACTTTCATCCAAAACATTATAGATCTGCAGTCTAAAAATTTTATTTCTATGCAGTAAAATAGCATAACAGACAAATAAAAAAAATTGCCTTTCGTGTGTGCAGGCCGTAATAAATATCAGGGAAAAAGGAATTGAAGAATATTCTTTTCTGTTCTTTATATTTATGCGATATTTTCATGCGTATAAATTAGAATACATTTCTTTAATAAAATATTATAATAATAGAATAACTATTAAATTGTTGCCTGAGTTGCGAGAATCTCAAATTAAAACTCGTCTGTGTCCTGTGCTATTTGATAAATGTATTGTTTCATACAAAATTAATGCATACTTCTTATTGATATAAAATTTAATACATTGATAAAATTATCACAAATTATTGTATTCAACGTTTTTACAAGTCGTTTGTATAAAAATAGGTTGCAATTAAGGTATATAGTATATTGGTGTAACAAAAATTTATATTGGTATGTATTGCTCATTTTGTTTATAATATTTTCAATGTGTTTTGGAAAGGTACAAAGTTGCGCATTTGCACACACAATTTTGCTACAAAATGTCCTAAATGTTCTGTCCACCGACTGAATTATTAATTTTACTTTCTTTTGAATTGTTACTTTTACATTTTAGACGACTCTGTTATATGTATTTAAAATGTGGGTGTAGATATAAATAACATCACTGTATTTATTAAAGACAATGAGTATAAATAGGTTTCGAGATACAATATATAAAATTTTATCTATAGTTATAATAGTTATCTAAAAAATTGAAAAAATATGTTAAAGAAATTACTTTGTTCTCATTGTATATTTTTGTAAAAATATACAATGAGAACTAAGTAATTTCTTAACAAAGATAAAACTAACAGATTTTATTTTATGAATTTTAAGTATGTACTTCTAAAATATTATTTAACTAACCCTTGTGGAAGGGAGAGCAGACTGGTACAAAAAATATCGGAAAAATCCACTAAGTGCTGACGTCCAGCGCTGTAACGAATAACACATGTTTACAGTAACGTGTCAACACTCAACTCTGTATCTCGATTTTGAAATCAGTAAATTGCACATTAGATTTAGACCACGGGAAACAGAATTCCAAAATAGTGACTGACTTGTCATTAACTTACCAAACTAATTTTCAATTATATTATACTCATGTAAAGTATAATATAAATATAAGAGGAATTTGCAAGAGTATGTCTGTGTCTATAAACGTAAAATATAGATCAGTATTGCTGATCTATATAGATCGAAGTACGGGCCAGGAAATGTTGCCTGTACCATAGAAATGCAAATGCTGAGTTGAATGGATGGCGTTATAAATGTTGACAAGAATGCAAATTAAGAATGAGTATCCGAGAAATGTTTGATACAAATGTTGACAAGAATGGAGAATGAGTATCTGAGGATTGACTTAGCACACGGACCTGTCAGTTAGTTAATTGCTTATATTAGTATGGACAAATGATGCGCAGGGATGAATAGAATGTACTAACAAAAATAATAAGTATGTGCAATAATAGATAGATGTGTAAAGAGAATGTCCTAACACAGAAATACATTTAAGAAACCACAAAAGTCTTTACTGGACAAGAGCGGAAAGTTAATGTGTATAATATAAACATCTTACTCTATGGTTTCCTTACTTATTGTTCAGTCCTTAACTTTTAAGTATTTAAAAATCTCTACTAATTATTGATAAAATTCATATATAATTTGAAATACATAAAATTACACTGTTAAAATGGAATACATTCCAGCCAGTCGATGCAATTTATAACACGAATATCGCATTCTTTATAAGTAATTTTCCAATAATTATTTCCACCTACTAATCAACGTCCAGTAATACTCGTATGTTAATCAGTTAGTGTAACGTATATTGCACTGCACAAGGTCTAGTGTTTATGATGCACGTATCGATAATACCTTGAATAAGGCATTTGCATTTAGCACATTCCATTGAATGTATATTTCTAATGACTAACTTCATGTGATGAGAATCTTTTAAAATCATAGGAATCTTAATAAATAGTAATTCCACTAATTACAATGGATTAGAACTAAACTTAAAAACAGAAATATTACCTATGTACATGTAATGCAAATATCAGTGATGTCATCTATTTGTTTTAATAATATGATCCCGATTGGATTGAGTTAAGTTAGCTTGCTGTATTTAAATTAGTAATTATTATTTAAAAAATAAACCTTACCAAAGCGATTAAGAATTACAATCGTAAAATCACAAAAACAATTGCACTGACAGTCTTCATTAATATTTATTATGACATGTTTGTGCTTCATTATTTATTATAAATTAAGAATTAACGAGTTTGCCATTGATATAGTCCAATCAAATGCCAAACTACATAGTACTTTTTCAGAGTAATCCTATTTTTCTATTATTATGAAATATATATTTTGATATCTATATCTACAACTTCATTCTGTTATTATTTCAAATACTCTCTGTATTCTAACGTAAAATACGTTGTATGTATATATATAAGTATTATTATAATCATGAACTTATACAATGAAATAAAATATAGGTGCTATAAAGGCTTACTTAAATATTTTAGGTGAATTTAGTGTAGGTAACTTAAAAATGTATATAAACTCATCACAGTAATGCAATAACAATTACCGTATTTTATTTTTAAGACTGTTTTAGGCATGAAATATAATTGTGATTAATTTACAAAAATGTGTCATTTTAGATGCTTTAAAAACTTCTGTTGTAACCAACCCTTATAAATTGTATTCTGTATATATAAATTTATTTAGTATCTAAGTGTGTTGATGTATATATTCTTTGCGAAGACACTATTGGTTCACAGAACAAAACGTCTATTCTGTGTTCGATAATGAATATTTGCAGTGTTCCATATATTGTGGACGATTCTGGAATGTTTGATTAATTCAATTTCTAAATAAGTCGCTATATCCCAAGTGTCTTATAATATTGTAGTGCACCTGCTAGCTAACATTTTACCCTTTATTGACAGTAATATTGTGTTGGAAAATTTTGTTAATTTTAGAAGCTAGAATTTGTATTTCCCTTATCGTTATTTTGCATACCATGTGTAAATAACCTTTTGGCCGGTAATAACGTTTTGATCTGTGATTTGGGTGCTTTGTACCCGTTTTAAGACGCAGACTTAAGTCTATAATATGACTAGCTTATGGCTCCACTGAAAATCAGCGCTGCACCAGCTGAGAGGAAGCCCTTTCAGCTTATAGCGCAATATTAGTTGTTATTTTATATTTTCCACACTACTATGCTGTACTATGCTATCCTGAATAAATGATTATTATTAACGTAAGCACTATATTAATTTCTAACGCTTCAGATTCGTCACGGCACAACATGACTGTAGTCTTTCTGTCTTCATTCATAACATGTTTTTACATGTAATAAAATTAAAAACTATCGCCTAAAAAATTTATTTATTAATTTCACGCAACCTATAATCACAGAGTAATTCGTCCAAGGCTTTGAAAAAATATCCATTATGCAACTTTAGTAACTGTTTAGTAGCTGGTGACCGTTTTTGGTATGCAGTAACCAACATAAAGGTAAATTTCAGAGTCGGCCACATTATCTCTATAATTACCTGTAGTTATGGTAGAGTTCTATTTCACTAAAAACCATTCTAAAACAAACAATTCGTTTGCTCTGTTGAATTCCCATCCATATATGAAAGACGCTCAGTAAACACTAATTATAATGTAGCCGATTTAAAAAAAATTATCTTTTTACTTTCATTCCATTTGTAGGATTATAAGAAAAAATATTGCACTAATGTAAAATATCTTTATTATAATAAGTTTTTGCGAAATACTTTGTATTAAAAAAATCAACATAATGGTTTATTGCCAAACATTACTTTTATTGACTTAATAGTCGATCGGAAATCGTTACTCTCAGCTTATTAATCCAAGATAGGTTTCTTTCTTGGTTGGGAATTTGAGATATAGATGAAAATTAGCATCACAATATCCTATAGCAACTATATGTTATCTGATAGATCTTTATCGTCAAAAAACTACTGACTGTCGTTGATTGCTCTATTATATTTCTTACTGTATTAGTAAATCTCCAGTAGTAATAAATTAGAAAAATCTGCACAAAAATGTTAATTATCTATAATGAATATACATTCTATATACAAATTACAATATGTTACTATATCTAAGTATTATAATGTATTAAACATTGATGTGATTTACAAATAAAATGTTTAAATGCACATGAGTATTTGAATAAGTAAATTCCTTTACTTTTCTTGTTACGTATAACTGATATTATCATTACCCTCGGTGGTTTAGTGGTTTAGCACACCGCTTTATTTCAGATCTGTGCATGTTCGATTACACGCACAGTACAAACAAGGGTGGGCAACGAGCACGTGACACCCCTGGTGTTTCAGGAGTCCATAGGCTAGGCCATATGTTTGTTTTCCGTAGTTACGTATTACGTAGTATAAAAAAAATAATACAAATATATTCCTATTGATGTGGGTGTTTTCTATGTATAATATTTTTTACTATAACAGGTATATAAATAAAATAAACCATGTGCGTACTTAATTTCTTTATTAAAAATGTAATGTTACAGTATATATATCAGTAAGGTCATACATGGCAGTGATGTTATTATTACTTAAAATTACATTCACTATACAAAACCTGAACAACATTTCCATCGTCAACCATCGCTGACTCGACTCTTGACACAATAGAAAGCAATACAATTAACATTGAAATCTCACTAACACATGAATAAAACTTCAAGAGAAATAACAAACAATTTTGTCAAGAGTGAATCTACTTACCAACTGCCAACCGTGAGCTTACTCGCCACAACTTTCTACATTACGCCAATCCAAGAAACATTCTATGACTAATGTACTTACATTCCAATTTAGACAATAGAACACAATTTTGATAACAATTATGATTTTAAAGAAATAAAAGTACTTTCGGCAATCAAATTTCTTCAAAATCTATTCTCTATGCTCCATTCATATATACTTGGAACAATTAGTAAACAGTCATGACCATTATTTTATCCGAATAGGGTTTAAAATAACTTTTGAGAATTGATACACCACTGTATTTTTTCTTGTTTATACGCAAAATCTCTTAATAAGGATGTGCCGACATTATTTACTATGTGTACCAAGTAGAAACGAACAGTGCGTAGTTTCAGATCTATTGGATAAAAATCCTTCGTAGGTATAACCACATATTGATGAAAGCGGAATATAACTAATGTCTTAAATAATTTTAAGTGTCAGTTCGAAATACATCCCAAAAAGCCCTTTATTTGGACACAGAAATTAGAGGTGGAAAAATCATTTCATACAATTTCCAATTACGTCTTGCCTACACGAGTATAACATTCTTTGGGACATTACAGCACTGTTCACCAGACTCTGCTAAAACGCAGGGCCTCAATCCGTGCGATATTCTTAAACTAATATTTACTAAAGACTGAACTAAGAACTCCAACTAAAGTCACATTATGATAAAATAAATAAATATGCCTCTATACAAAAATAACACATTTATTCACGGTGAACACCTGAGCACTCGAGATCTAGCTGGACGTCCCCATACTCTGTCTATACTGCCCGTGGCTCAGCTCTATGCGTCTAATCCATTACTACATACACACCAGAGGCCGCCGCAAAATACTTCATTCCCTTACTCGGCTAGTTAACGCCAAAAATTGACTTTTATTTATGTAATAATTAATTATCTCTCACAATTACAAAAGTGATTGAAGAGTATAAAAACTGTAAACTTGTCGTATTAAAATTACATATTATCATCGAAAATATTCTCATCACAATACAAATTTGTATTCGCATTTCGTGTATTAAAAATAGTCGTGACTCGATAACAATTTTCAAACTTGGTCAAAAACTACACACACACTCGATCGGGATCAACTAGCTAGCGGCTAATACTGCATCGGAAACGTGATGAAATCATAAAATCTAGCTTCGAATGTCTACGCTTATATACAACAACGGCGACCGACCGGGCCGATAGAAAAACATCCATAAGTTAACTAAAGCGATGACCACTAATTAAAATATAGATCTCATTCGAAACTATCATACACTCTCACACGAAATAAATACAGGTACATACGACGTCACTGTGACCCTGTCGCCAGCGTCGAAATACGCAGTGAGGGCAGCTCTCGGCGAGCCGCGGCGACGCTCAGTCCGGCGTCGGCGTCGGCACCAGCGCGGGGGGCGGGGGCGCGGCCAGCGGCGGCGGCGCCGGCCGGTGCAGCGTGAACGCGTCGTACACCTGCGCCAGCTCGTCCACGTGGTGCTCCTCCAGGCAGAGAAAGCCCTGCAGCGCGGGGCTGGCGCGGCGCGCGCACGCCAGGCAGTGCACCACGTGCCGGCGCTCGTGCTCGCGCACCAGCAGCGCGTGCCACACCTCGCGCTCGCACACGCCGCAGTAGTGAGACGCCTCGCCCTTGGCGCGGCCGTGGAAGCGGATGGCCAGGTTACGGGCGCGGACCGCCGCCAGTGTGCCGGCTGCCGCGCGTAACGTCTGCATCAGGCACGTGCGCATCGCGCGGTGCAGCCGCGGGTCCGACACGCGGATGTTGCGCGCCAGGTTCCACGTAAGGTGCACCATCGGCACGATCGACTTAAAGTTCTGCACCTTGTTCCACTCGTACCGCTCGAGGGCGAGAGTGTACTGCCTCGCAGTCAGCGGACCGACGTTCCACGCTATGTTGTTGCACCATCCGGTCGCTTGTACCCAGTGGACGCAGCCGGCGTTTACCCACACCAGGTCGCCGGGCCGCTGCGTGAACCGATATACGGGCACGCCGTGAGCCCGTAGCTCCTCGGGGTCGGGCCACCACGATCCGTGTAAGTACGAGAGACCGTGCCGCTCGCACAGTTCACGAACACCACCCCAGTACGCGTCCGGAACGCCGAACCACTCGCAGTCACCGGGACCGATGTTGATGTTGATCGAGCAGAAGTTGTTGTTCTCCTGGTGGCCGGGCGTCCGACTGCCGGGCACCTTCATGTACAGTTGGACCGTGTTCATTCCGAGAATCACATGACCGACGTGCGAGAGCATGTTCGCGGCGGAGGCGACACGCGCGAATGCCGGCAACTTCTGTAGCTCCGTGAGTTGCTGCCGCCACTTCCGCTCGTCGGAGAGGTCGACGTTGGTGCCGAAGCGGAGCATGCGGGCACCCCGGCGACGCTTGGCCGGCCCGGAGCCGGACTCGCGGCCGTCAGAGTCGGACAGCGCGCCGGCCGAGTGCGCGGGCGCGGTGCCGCGCTCGCGTTCCTCGCGGAGAGACTCCTGGAACGAGCCGGCCTGATACTGCGCGTACTTGCGCACAGTTGTGTGCGAGCGATGCGAGGCACAGGCCCACACCCGCCTCCGACCCGTCGGGTCCCAGTTCTCGTCGGCGGACTGCATCAGCTGAGTCCGAACCTCCACCGCGTGGTCGGGCCACGCCTCCACCAGGGTCTTCGTGGAGAAGAGGCCGAGATCGAGCTTGAGAGCCGCGGTGAGGCCGCGGACGACAGCTATCGGATGCTTGAGGCAGAAATCTTGGAGTTGCGGGGAGAAGGCGTCGCGCTTGGACTCTACGTAGACGAAGGGCGCGGGCGGCGCCAGCTGCTCGGCGGAGAGGCGCGGCGGCGGCACGGCGGGCGGCGTGGGCGGCCCGCAGCCGTCACCCAGCACCGACCACGACGTCGGCGGACCCGCATTCTCTCTGCAAGACACCACCACCATGTCATGACATCGTTCTTGTCATATTTACAGCTGTCTTTATAGTTTAGTTTAGTTCTAAACTAGGCAAGATTCTTAGCACGAGCGTCAGATAGTTGTTAATCTTTCTCCCAAATACAACTGACTGCATTTTAATGAAATTTACAATAATATAGCTTATACGTAGGAATAAATTTCATACTGGTAAAACCGCGGGCACATCTATAGAACGACGCCCATGCGATAACACAAAATGTATACAAAGGTACTGGATGAATCAAAATTCAGTATGTTAAATTTCTACACCACCAACACTGTATCTTAAATTTACTACCCAATATTTTTTTAATACTCACTTGCAAGTGTCCAGTATCTGTTTAGAAGTCATGCCAATATGGAACATGACAGGTTTGAGAGGATCGGTCTTAAGCGGCTCCAATTTGACGACGGGCTGTCGACCACCGAGTACTGCATCACCAACACTTGCATTACTGGTGTTCTCAGCTGAAACAAAAAAAATATTAAAATACATTTGTCTTCACAATTATTAATAATAATAAACTTGTGAAATACAGGAAACAGACAATAATAATATGCAAAATGAAACACCAAGGCCGGCCATAAAATAGTATTCATAGATAACGCCATGAATCTTAACTAGAATACGGTAAACTTCAATAGAAACTCACTTGTCGCAACTTAAATATTACATCCTATGTTTACTGATTGATTTAGATTTTGTCGTGAGCATGTTTGTCTATGACTAATACTAAAGCTTATTCAATATTAAGATTTTAAATTAGTAATTGCATTACAATATGTACATTTAATTTTACGTATAGGAGATTTTTCAAGTGACACCCACAGTGGCTGTTAACTGTAGGAAGACATGTTCCCGACAGTCAAATCGGACGCATTAGATTCATCAATGCTATGTCATTTTTATAAAAAATCTATTTTGTATATATACCCTAATATATAATAAAATTAATAAATATCTCTTCTACCAAAAATTCAATAATACAGAATATTATTGTACAACAATAAACCCAATAATAACGCACAGCGCTATCTAGTCTGACCTCAGCAGAACTTGTGCTATGGGCACTGGACAACTTTTTTTAGACATATAACATAGAAAACGCCAAGCCCGATACAAACAATCATGCACAACAATACATATTTACATCATGACGAATCGAACTCGCAACCACCGAAAGAAATGTGTGATAAACCACTAGACCACTGAGGCTGTTGAATTTAACTTTAGTCCCAGTTTAACTAACACATTCGTATTTGACCTAATGTTATACTTTAAGATTTCATTAGCTTATTTGCTTTTCGAAATTCCAGTATATTTTATAGGCATTTCATGTTATTTTTATCGTATCGTATATATTTAAAACTCACAGCTATCTCTAGTAAGGATGTTTTGTGGTTTGTTATCTGAGAATTGTATGGTTATTGGTGTACCTATTACGGTTCTGAATTATATAACAAAACCAATTTCATCAAAGTAACCACTATTTGTTTATAAATTAACATATAAATTAAGCTTTCATAATTTGATAAATTAACAAATCCTTTGCACTAACATAATCCCCGATTCATTGTTATTTTGTTCCACAAACATTTGGCTCACATGAATTCCGCATTATGTCAAACTGACTTAGATTTTCTGTTATTCTATGATACTGATGAAAACTAATGTAAGGTTATATACCTATATTTTATTCATGAAATATTTATCAGAATAACAATGCATGTATTGTACTTAATATTAAAATATTATTATTCTGTCTACTGGTAATACAATACGATGCATTATTTATATTTCAGTGGGTATAAGAACTGTTTTTCATGTCTTTTGTATTTTAGATGTAATGGGTCACAAAATACTTTATATCTATATAGTGTACTGCTTAGTACTCAAATTATTCTGCAGAATTTTACTACAAAAAAAAACAATAAAAACAATTTTTTGAAGAAAGAATTATGACAACACAAGGGATAATGCGACGCTCAGAAAATATTTTAGGAACGGTATCGTACTTTGTGGCGATATAAAAAACGCAGTGCAAAACTAGACAGTGAATAACTTAGAATTATGAAAGAAAGAGTGAATAACTTAGAATTATGATTATGAAAGAAAGTTTCATTTCATTTTATTTATAGGTTTGGTTTTAGTGTTTTTGTTTTTGTTTTTTTGTTTGCTACCAGTCTAATCAAGAGCCTAATCACTGGATACACAATTACTTATTTGTTACGCATAGAAATAGAAAATAATTTATTTAAATAAACATGATTGCACATTAACAACTGAAGCATCTTGAATAGTCATAACTTATTTTTTTATTCTACTGCTCATTGGGAAATATATGTAATATTTATCGTTGTTACACAGCTTTTGTGTTGTTTCAATTTGCGTGTTCCTCTTTAGTTTAAAAGTTTTAAAATTATTTTCTTAGAAGATGCTTACATTATAAAATAAACTTAGCTTACAAATTACGAGCTTATTAAAAATACGAGCAAGTGTTTGCCATTCCACTCGTGTTCGTATTTTTAATATTCATGACCTATTTTCAGTTACAAGTGCAATAAACATAATAGTGTATTATTATATATATATTGGATATCAGTCCTTTTTTAGCCTCGATTATAGTCTACATGAACACATTGTAGACAGTTATGAGGTCACATAAACTAATACGTACAATCGCCGAGGCGTAATCGGTACATATATGAATGCAAAGTTGATATGCCTTATAATTAATAGTACGTACGTGTAATATAACTTTATAGTACATAACAATGTAACTATAAATAGGGAGGGATTGTTTGATTTTGGGGTCTAATAGCCCAACTGCTAACAAGCCATAGTATATAATAGTTCTTGGTATAACCATAATTTAACGTGTATTCGCCATTATGGTGTTAATGCCTCATCCTTACATTCTCCACTAATGCATCAACAGCGTACATCATTAAAGCAGGACGGATCACTACCTCATGATCATAAATATCTTTTGCTTCGTAATATAATATTTTAAAGGTGAAAGTGTGTCTATCTATTACATTTTCAGTAATAAACAGGTAAACGGAAGTTACAATTTTTTTTCTTTCTCTAAAGATAGATTGTATCACAAGGAAAGAGATGGGCTTTGGTTTATCTAAAATGCCTCAGTGGTCAATTTCTCTTACGGTATAAACATTTGTATTCATGAGTTTGTATTATTTGTATTGCCTGGTTGTTTTCTATCCATATTATATATGTATTTACACAAACATATTTAGTATTTCTATTAGTTGTCTAGTAGCCATAACACAAGCTCTGCTTAGTTCTTATATCTATATAAAGCAAACCCGTGGGTAACGGCTAGTATTTAATAGAATACATGTACTCACGACTGTAACCTCGGATACCAGATCTTAGCGAGATAAACGTATCAGATTGCCTTATCAGAAGGATTATACAATGTTTCTCAAAGATGAACCCTTTTATTAAAAAGTAATCTTTATGACATTCAAAGAGGGTTTATATTTAAACGACAAAAGTAAATATTTAGGACTTTTCAAACTGAACCCTATTTTGTCCTGTTTTGTGTCTTCATGAAACGTAGTGTAATAAAAATTTATATAAACACATTATATATTTTCTAATTTTGTAACAACTTCTGTAATTAGGAAATTATTCCCACTCATATTGTGTAAGGAACTACCTGCCGATGATTTTCTCTAGAAACAACAGATCCTTAATCTGCATGCGACTACCTTGATGTAATAATGACTACTTACTGCTAACAGGCTCCTTCTTTATATCGGGCTGCGAGTCCGAGAATCTCTTCAACAAATCTTCGGCCAACGACTCCGCGTTGTCGCTGCCGGTCGCAGTACTACCTTCGCTTTTGGTCACCTGAAACATAAGTATAAATTTAGTATATTTGTTGAAATGTTTACGTTATATGCCTACACAACCTGCCGCCAATTATAAAGGTAATTAAGGGGGTGGATAAAGTGTTTACAAACCGCACGCGCTTTCGCCGCCTGAGCCAGGTGATATTGTGCCAGCAACTGCTTCATTAACGCCTAGAAAAAACAATACGTTTAATAATATTTAAGAAGAAAAAAAAACTATATACAATTAATTAATTAAAACACAAAAATACATATTTATCATTATTAATTTTATTACACACTTTTATTTCATCAATTACAATGGTACATCTACTGCGTGAAATTATCACGTACAAACCATGTTTACATATTCAGAAAATTTTGCAGCATAAATAACCAGATTTTTATACACATGAAACGCAGCTCTCATTGTTTAAACACTGTATAAAATTTCCTAATTTATGGGAAAGACTGAGTGTTTTTCAAACCTTACTAAATAACTTGTATTGTTTATCGTATTGAACCTCAAGATATTATAACCATCATATTTAATAAAATATACTTATAATACAACTTGCAATAGGAAACAGTAAAAATAATATCTATGTAGATCTTGTAATAACAAGATCCATAGATATTACTTTACAAAATTTCTAGAACAAATGGATAAACCAGCTAGTTACGCCAAAGCTTCTCTCTAAGCTTTAACGATGACTTTCAATAGACTATGCAGTTGAACAGGCAACACTTACCTGTTGCTGGGGTATGAGGTTATGAGCATTCCGCTGGAGATGTTGAAGAGTTTGAAGTTGTTGTGCCGTGAGTGGCGGCGGGTCGTCTCGCTTGCCGGGATACGGTGGCGGCGCAGACTTGGGCGCTCGGGATGACATCTCCGCTGATATAGGGAGGTTCCACGCTTCCTCGATAGACGGCAACTGACGGCGTCTGTGAACATAGTCATTTAACAATCTACAATGGACGTGCTGACCACAGACATATCCTCATTAGAGGAGGCATTAGCTTACTATTACCACCCTACCTAGGCTGACTATAGAGTTATTTTGGAGTTTCTATTTAGCATTAATAATAATAATACCAATTTTAGTCGTTATAATCGTTTACATTATTGTAAACCAGGGATTGATTTTAGAATTGATATATTACCGATTTCTTCCTGTACTCTCTTCTTCATCTTTGTTCACGCCAGAGCTCTTAAGGAGTAAGTGATGACTGAGTATCAGAAGCTTCTGTCCGTTTAGAAGGACAGATGCTTCTAATACTTCATTCTCATTTATAACTTGTCCTATTCATGCACGTTAGTTTGGGTGACTTGACTTCTGCATCCAAAACAAGTTTAATCTAATCTCGATAGGCTAGCTAGGTGTGTTCACGACACCTCATTTAAAATTAGACGTTATTTTCTCGATATAAACAAAAAAAAACAAACTATAATATAATTACTACACCGACAATTACTTAATAAACAGCGCGGTTGACTGCCCTACAAGTATCAAGTAAATTCATGTAAATGGCAATTAAAAAATCATTGCATACTCACTTTCCAGTGACAGATGGCATAGGGGCATGCACGAGGTTCGCCCTTAAGAACGCTAGTCGCTGCCGAAGGGCCGAGTGCGACGCGGTCGCAACTGCACCCCCGTTCGTATAACAAGCAAACGCGTCTCGAGGCATCTGGCAACTCTCGTATAAGCTGCCTAGGTTCGTCCACGCGGCAGAATGACCCTTGTCCAATTGTACGGCGCAAATGTACGCTTGCAATGCATCCATGGGTTGATTCTGTTGCTGGTACAGCACCCTGTGGAGTATTTAAGGTTCATTTTTGACTACACGTGCTCGGGATTTGTATACGTAATATATTGATTAAACCGAATGAAAGTAATATATGTTCTACCCTATCAGATTAAAAGGCCTCAAGAAGAATAATATTAAGAAAGGAAAAAATACTAAAAAAGAAATAATAAATATTAAGAAAGGCCTCAAGAAGTAATAAAGAAATAATCAAACTCACTTTCATACTATTAATAACTATTAGTAGTAACTCGACGTAAATTTTTCTTTATACCTAACAGGAAATGCGATCGTTGCCAAATTATTCGGGAAGTAGCCTCTGTGACAATATTGTGGCAATTTTCACCGTTTAAATTTGGAACGGATTGCTTGTAAATATACTAGTAATCTTTCTATGACATACCTACTTATACACGCTTTCTCAGACACGTCATGTCGGTACTTACTAGGTAACTACTTACATACATTTATTATGTCAGATGCGGTCGGTTGCACTTGTCGGTCGGATACACGTGTACCAGGTAAGCCAAACATCTAGTTATTATTATGGTTGTTTTTATGAAATATTCATTCACTATTAACTACCTTAGGAAGCAAATTGGACTTGTAGTTTTACATTATTATTTTTCTCGTTACTCATTTTAAAATGCATGAATATTTATAATTCGAACACGAGAAATTACATTTTTATTATTCCATATATAGATTAATAATGTCTGCCCATATACATACAGCAAAATTACAGCTATCTTTGGTGAATGATATGACGAAAATTATTATTATATTAAAACTTCAGACCAATAAAATACACACCCTATAGAGCACCAAGTGTCCGCGTTCCCCTCCGATTTCTCGACGGAGTTTCTATATACAATGAATGCGTCGTGGACCTTTCCCTGGGCCGCATAACACCTGCCCAGGAGGTATAAGCCAGCGCCGGAGTCGGGCTCCGCGGCGACTGCGCGCTGCAAACACCAAATTGCGGCGCGAGCGCGCGCCCCAGTCTCTCCCAACGAGACGCACCGATGGTACAGCCACCCTGGCACCACGAGCAAATATCTTTCTATTTATATCACCACTTATGTACGTCCAATTATTATTAAATTAAAGTTATCTATAATCATTTTATTGGTATATAATTATAAATTATATTGGTATTCACGTCTGAAGTTTATTAACATGTCATACGACTGTAGTTAGTTAGGTATTTATCTAAAATTATAACTATATACATATATACTATATATATTTAAGCAACTGTAGCCCTATGTTCTTGTATATTTAGTTAAACCCATTGTTTCGTTTACTATTGATATCATCAAGTTATCAACATATGATCGTTTATCAATCATTACCCACTGTCGTACTCTTGTCAGTGTCTTCACTATGCAGTTATTACATGTAACATAGCTAATACGCAAGACTCTACATTCTTACCTAATTGCCTGCAAACATCTGCTTTCAAGGTAGAAGAAAGCTGAGGCTCTTTAAGTTGTCTTTCATATGCGTCCCTGGCCTGTTTCCTAAGTCCCTTGGCTTCGAGCAAGTGAGCAGCATGGAAGGTGAGCTCCAAGCGTGTGAAGGTTGCGTCCTGGTGCGGAGCCAGCCGCGCCCGTCTGAAGTGCACTGCGGCAGCCGCCCAATGCCTTCGTGCTTTGAACATCAATGCCAACCGCAAATGCGCGTCTGCCGCTCGAGAGAACCCCGGCGACACGTATAGTGCCATCTGCAACGCCTTTGTTGCCCTAATAGCAAAAAAAATTTAAAACATCTTCCATCAGACATGTAAGATGCATACTTATTAATTAATAAAATCTATTCGTTAAATCATTTACAAGTGCAACTGTAGTTTTTTGCAGTATCGTCTTGATGAATAGAAAAATTTAAATGAATAGTATGCCTGTCATAAATTTTAAAGTCTACACTCAGTTTTTTTTACAAACTCATAGTCCCGCAGTCGCAGACGTGGACTCAAATTTACAATATAAAATAACAACTACTTTATTACTTTACCGAATATATACATATTTTATATCCATAGAGTATACTACAGACGGCTTTACGTATAAACGATTTAGATAATTAATTCAGCCGTTCAGTATACAAAAGTGCTCATTTGTATCGAAAAAATATATTCTTATATGTACAGTCTGTCTGAGAGAGCAATGTCAAAGTAACAGTCTGCACTTGACTTGGCCGCAAGGTCAGACGATGTGCAAAATTAAATAATACACGGTAACTGCTATGTAAGTAATAAGTACAGCCCACCGTGAATACCTACTGTTGACGTAATAAAATAGAGAGAAAACAACAGAACCCATACAAAGTATGAACTCTGCAATAAAACTTTACATTTCTTTTTACCGTAATATTGAGTTGTATAGAAATATTTTAGCCGGAGAAGTACAATGACGGAGAAAAAACTTTTATTATACCAGGCCTACCCGTCCCAAAATTCTAAACCGGTCCGCTTTTGTGGAACTAATACAGATTGCATTGCGTTACGCATTGTCGATTCAATAGCAGAAACGTCTTTACAACTGCCATAGTACATACAGTAAAGAAAAATAAAATGGCCAGGTAGATAAATTTAGATTTTTAAGAAATTTGGCCAGGCTACGAACGAGTATGAATTGGAATTATAACGAAGAACGCAGCGGTATCGTCAAGGTGCGTAAACCTTACAAAAGACGGAACGAAGGCATCCATAATATCTGTAAGGTTATTTAGGGGCGCATCACCGAAGCGTAACGTCACCGATGCGCCCGCGGGGTCGATGACCGTCTCAGGCTCGTTCGTGCAATCGATCGGACGATGCAACGCAACGTCTAGACAGCGATCGCAGTCCGAATCGGACGCCTATACCGCCTGTATTTAGACGACCTCGGCTGACATTTGCAAGCCGAAACAAAGGAGCGAGACAGGTGGCGACCGACGTTCACCCCGATACCATCAACTAACTAAAATTAAATAATTACACGCACACACAAGTTTGTGGCGAGGCGAAGAAAGCTTTCACCCGTCTCGTCGCCCGCGGCATTGCTCGACATTCATAGCACTTTGAGGAACATTGGTTCATATTAACATTTTATTCCACAGTATTAACTATGATTGCCTGCTGTCACGCAATATTAAAAAGTACATGAGAAACATACACCCTAGTTATTTCCCTGTTCCGATATACATCAATCCAGGATTCCGATAAGACATGACGAAATAAAATAAACTTAATTCATTTTTCATTCAGATTAACATGTATATATACGTATATGCATAGTAGACTCTTTGTACTTTTTAAATAATATTTCATTCATTAGTGTTCAGAAACAATAATTCACAATTTCACGTAATATTCAGGTGTTTAAATAATTATACAAAGTAGCATTGTTTCGATCAATGACAAACCAGATAAAGTACCCATGAGTCTTTATGTGATATTATTCAATGCGGTATGTCGTTTCAACTCATACACCCACACGCGCTGATAACGAATATTCGACGAATGGTGATAACGAAATGCAAATACTGTATTACAATATCGATTATGGTCGTAAAAAAACTGCTACAAATTATTAGATTCACTTTTTTCTAACTTCTTAAAGTATATCAACATAATATAGACAAAAACAATTTACTTCACAGTTCAGTGGAGGGCTGAAAAGAAAACATTAAAAAAGCGGTATTACGTCTACGCTGTATTTTATAGGGTTACAAATAACATATATACTGAAACTATGTCAATATAGTTTTAGCAATATAGTGACAATTAGTGTTACATGTGTTTTATACTGGAAATGTCAACAACAGCTCCCGACCACGATGGCTCTCTGATGGCCACGACGATCATCAAGCTTCTTATAAACTTAGATCACGAGTATTCAGGATTAATTGACATATCTTTATGGTTTAGGAAACTTTGTTTTCATTACGACTCGAATAAAAAATATCTAAAATAATTTGACATATATGTACTTAGCAAAATTGTAGAGCGAAATATTGAAGTGGGTTTGCCGTATAGAAGATGAATCTTACAGATATTATCCCACCAGCTTATCCCACCTTTTTTTATTACTTTTCTAAAAGTATTTAATTTGTGTGTTGAAGTATGTATTTTATTTATTATGAATGTATCGTTAAATGTTATCGAACGTTTTTATTTATATTTGTAGTGGATAATTGGTACGAGTACCTATGTAGAAATCCTTGCGAGCATCCTGAATACACGGGGCCAATTATACCGCTCGCTACCTGCCTGCCCAACGAGGGATATTATCAGCTCAGGTAAGGAAAACAGGGCCATACATATATACACACGAAATTCTCTTTGAAACACGCTATTCATATCCCCAGTGTAAAATTGTAATCGGTTCTACACAGATAAATGTAATATGAATGAACGAACATCTGGCTAGTGTGCAGAATATTACAAGTTACGACAGAACGCTTGTTTATGTACGTTTATTAGAAAATTTTAAAGATAAATTAAAAATACAAGGTACCTATATTTAGATTAGGACCTTTTATAGATTCCGGCGCATATCATATTTCGTTTTCGGTGATGGTGCCATTGAATTTCCTTGTACCACATTTTAGACAAGTACATACTTCGTGAATGTTATAAAGCTGTTTGTTTACTAACACGAGTAAGTACATAGCACCAGAACCGGTTAAAACAGTTGTCGTTTGGAAACCTTCTGTAATAGAATTCATAGACATAAAGCTCCGCAATAAATAAGTAGTTATTACCGGACTCGAACGCATATAGAAAGCCAGTTTTGTCGGATGATAATGACGATAAAACTTGCGTCTTGTTGTGGTAAAACAAGTAAATGTTTGTAAATAATATATCAATTTCGTTTTTTGGTGGTATGAGGAGCTCGGGGGTGTTAGAGGGGGCGGGAGAGGGAGGAGAGGGAGACTATAATGAAGCAGCATGGGTTGACCTACTTCAGCACACTCGCAACGGCTCAAGGACGGATCGACCGCTATTTATAGAGTTCATTCGTCGGTCGTCATAGCATCGCACTCACTTTACATAACTGAAGTAAGCCGTCGCTAGGTGCGCCGTGGCACGTGATTCGAGCTCGAATAGGTACGTCTATTGAGCGAAATTTTCCCACGGAAAGCGACTAAAGGGGAATTAGCGTTTCTTTCTGTTATAGTTATTATCCTTTCTCATATAAGGGGTTATCTGACCCTGAGACGGGTTACAGTTTGTTTCTAATAATTTTAAGGTTAATTTAGTACAAGGGTCTATATCAGATAAAGGGTAAGTAAAATTAATGCAAAGGTTCTTAGTAATGGGAACAAGTGATCCCATTGCAATATATCACGTCAGGTTCACCTCCACGCGATCCCTACTGGAAATCATTGTTAATTGCTGATAAATTTGCCATGATTGGATAACTAACCCAACATCATGTTCATCCTATCATCCTCCACTCGTATATCATAATACCCCGCCAGCGTATGTATACCGTTTGCGCAGGCGAATGTACCATTCCATTGTTCTTTAAAAAAGTACCTTCAGCAATGTTACTACGAATCTTTCCACCATGTTGGAACATCGACGAGTTGGAGTTACATTATAGTTTACAAGTGAACCGAGATCAGGTAGGGCAATAGAATATGTAGGGCAATAATATAGGCGGTATGCAGTAAAGCATGCTACAATGCCACAATCCTCTAAGTACCAAGGACGAATGCCTATGTAAGACTATAGTGATTAAATATAAGACTAGTACCTAATAACCGCAATGCAATCACGTCATGCATTGAACATAGAATAGGTAAGTACATAAACTTGCAGTTCACCTGACCATATTGCAACATAACCTTGTATTAACGACTACAAAATGCAATGCAATGCACATATTATGCACAAGCACAGTATTATAATAACAGCAGTTTGTTTATAAACGCTAAGAGCAACATAGTTATTTTCTAAGAACAATGCATTCTTCATTTTTGGTTGTTTTAGACATCAAACATCGAACATATTCATGTAACGTTAAAGTAATGGTTAGTTATGTGGTACAAAATTATTTAGATTTTGTTTTTTGTGAAGTCATAAAGAGATTTATCTACATGCCCATACCGACTGTTGGTAAGGCACGTAAAACATTTCTTTCGGTACAATGTAGCGTAGACAATGTCTGTCACTAAGCAATAAAATATAAAAAAATGCAAAATACGGCATTCTCAGAAAGATAATTTAAAGATGGAACAAAAAATTGTACACTTTAAAACAGTTGGAAACAAAAATTGTTTTACTTCGTTTACTCATAAGTTTCAGTAGATATATTGCTGTGCAGAGGCAATTGTAGCATATCACTGACAATATGCATTGTGCCGTTGTGATGGAGATAGATGCTCTGCATTATATCTATCATTAAACGTTTTTATGTAATTGGAATGACCTACAAACTAACATATCACCTCATAATAAGTGGTATCCGTATGCATGAACAATACCACGGGCATCATGTTATCATTTGACGCTCGTGATACTGTGATACTCATGAATCTTATTCCCGAGGACCAATAAATAGGTCATGTTTCTTATCCTGTAATTTCACATTTGCCTTATCAGTTACAATGCAAACTGCTTGATTATAATAGATTAAATAGAGGTGTGGTACTCATGCAAAAGACTTAATACGAAGTCTACCTCAGTGGATACTAACAATAATTCAAAAACAAGAAGAACCTTTAATAAAAGAAGCATTCTACTATAATCAATTTA